TGTTTTGGATCATTGTCTTGCTGCATGACCCAGCTGCGTTTCAGCTTCAGCTCACAGACGGATGGTCTGACATTCTCAGTGTAGAATTCTCTGATACAGAGCAGAATTCATGGTTCCTTCTATTAAGGCAAGTTGTCCAGGTCCTTTAGTTGTTGATCAGTCTCTCACGTCGCTGTGGCTGCAAAGCATCCCCAAATCATCACACCACCACCACCATGCTTGACCTTTGGTATGATGTTCTTACTGTGGAATGCAGAGTTTGGTTTTCGCCAGGCATTACTGGAACCATGTCGTCCAAAAAGTTATACTTTTGAATCATCTGTCCATAGAATGTTCTTCCAAGAGTCTTGATGATCATTCAGGTGCTTTTTGGCAAACTTGAGTCAACTTTTTGGACGAGATGGGTCCCATTATGCCTGCCGAAAACCAAACACTGCATTCCACAGTAAGAACAACATACCAAAGGTCAAGCATGGTGGTGGTGGTGTGATGGTTTGGGGATGCTTTGCTGCCTCAGGACCTGGACGACTTGCCTTAATAGAAGGAACCATGAATTCTGCTCTGTATCAGAGAATTCCAGACCTAATCCCAATTGAGATGTTGTGGAAGGACTTGAAACGAGCAGTTCATGCTTGAAAACCCACACGTCACTGAGTTAAAGCAGTTCTGCATGGAAGAGTGGGCCAAAATTCCTCCACAGCGACGTAATATAATATTAGGTTTTGGTTGAAGACTTGATAACATTCAGTATCACAAATATGCAAAAGTAGCGAAAATTAGAAAGGGGGCAAATACTTTTTCATAGCACTGTATAATGTACAATTATAATTAGTATGCTTTGTTTAACTGATTGAACATACCTTTCTTGTACCGGTACTTATATTGTAATTTTGTGGTGTGGTTTTCATATAAGCCCTTTTGGATTTCCAACTCACCTGCACAACATTTTTACCTGTTTGCATCTGTACTGTTGTAGGGCCCCCGAAGTGACTCTTATCTACACTCTATGCAAAAGGTTTTTTCTTCTCAGGAATTCAGCCTTTTCTGTGTTGATCTCCCCAACCCCCATTGTCACACCACTGAGAATCAGAGGTTCTGTTGTGATTACGTCATGTATGTCTGATATCTGATTGGAGATTAACTTTACAGTAATACTATTGGTAAACAACTCAGATGCTTATAGAAAGAGTTTGATTCATTGTTATTTTCCTTATGTTCCTGACTTGCTGTGGTGAGATACCTACACTCTCTTTCCCTCTTCCTCTCCCATGAGCTATGGGCCATGGCAGAAGCCATGTTTTTTTTTGACTCCAACCAAATGCTTCCTGTAGTTGTTGATCCGTCTCTCACGTCGCTTAGAATGCCTTGTAATGTTTGTTAATGCTTTGTAACTTAAGCTTTATGCCTTATGTGAATCCATTCATTTTACAAAGTAATTAAATACACTTGTATTTTGAATTCCATTCTCAGACATTTCTTAATTGCCTATTACTGTAACTCAACTATAGTGTTCTTGCATATTGCTATTTATCTTTATGGAGTCAGATAATTCCTTTAATGGGCTAAATGCTTACAGTACATGAGTTGTGAGAATCATGTCACCTGACAAACAAAGCAAACCGTTTTATATCTTAACAGATACTTTAATCTTTAACGACACATTTCATAAATATTGAAAGTAACAATAATACATTATTGCTTACCCTAATATCTATTTCCAGGTAATAATAGTAGAGACTTGGTCATTGTGGGTTTGACAATAAGGATAGTGCTTGCAGGACAGCGCACAAGACAGTCTCTAGGGAACTTATCAACAAAAAAGCAAATGTAATATAAATATAATAAAGCTTATTTTGAATAAGAACCTCTGTATTCAATGTTTTGACCTAGCAATTACAATTAAATAAGCAACATGATATTACGATAACAAAATGCAATTTTCTGTCAACAGTTGAACACTTTTCTACCTGTTGACAGATTGTTTTCATAAAAGTCTATTGTAAGTAACATTGTATATTGTAACATTGCATGACTGAAGGACAACTTCTTACTAGGTGACGTTCAAACAAACAAACATTCACAGTAAAAAAAAAGCTGTGTAAACAAAATGAAAATTAACACAAGACCATTTAATATTTCACTAACCAATATTTTCGATATTTACGTCAGCAAAACCAGAATGACCCAGGAGGCAAACAGTGAATCGAACAACACAGATATAAATAAGTCAGGGAACATTGAGAAGATTAGTGCTGCTAGGGCTTCAGTAGGTAAAACAAAACCTCCAATGTACAGGACTAGGCAACTGTTGCACAGAGACAATTTCAAGAGAGAAATATTAGTTTTTGGTAACACTTTAGATCAACTTTCATGAACAGGTATTAAACCATTTATAAACGTAAGTATTATTTGTAAGCATTTATAAGCATTACAGTTCATGAATATTTTATAACATGTATAGTTTATAAAGCATTTGATGGTTTATTCATGAAAGTTATTATATAGTGTTACCAACATTTGGAGGACAAAAATATACACCAGCTTTTGAGCAGGGTAACTAACCTAAATAAATCCATTCACAATGCCCATTCCATAATAATACAGATGATTGGGAAGCAGAAAAAATGTCTAGAGAATACACCACAGAGCGAGAAAAATCAGGGGTGTATTCATTAGTGCATACCATAGAAAACGGTAGCAAAAACAAGCGTTTCTTTTTGGACAAGTTTGTCCCTCCTCGTTTGGTTCCTAGTGAATACACCCCTGACATGGCCATGCACACATTTGTCAGGTTTATATTCCCAGGGAAAGCATAACAGCAATAGGATTCGGAGTAAGTAGGACTGGTTGGCGGGGTCAAAGTTCATGACCATCACAACTCTTTTCTCCTCCCTTGTTCTTCACAGTGTGAGCTGAGACATCAAAGCTGGTTGGGTAAAAGGGAATCACTCCGCCTCACTCCTCCAAGAGACAGATCACAGTGTAAACAAGCATAAGAAGAAACACATGTTTTTTCTTCCATGTGTATGTACAGTATGTATGACATTTTAACTTCTTTAGTGGACAAGGCAATATGTCTGCTGTGCCAATATAGGCCTGCAGAAGCTGCCAGTTGGCTGGTCAGCGGCTTGTGTCTGGGTTCCTTTCCCTCCCAGACACCGCCCAAAGAAATTCCTCTTTTCATGAGAGTTCAGCTGTCTAGTTCTGACCAGCCCTGCTGGCTGTGTCTCAGTAGTCTAAAGCCTGTGTCACACGAAGCAATTTGGATGCAATTCATGTTGTAGATGTAAGTTGCAAGCAGGGTTGCATGGGGAGTAATTGATTACATGTTACATGTAATCTGAGAAAAAATTTAATATATGTAACTTTAAATCAGTTATGTTACCAGCTAAAATGTTGTAATCAGATTGCAGATACTTTTGAAAAATTAGATGATTTCTTCTTGGATTACTTTTTTTTAAAGGATGTTTGCAGATGTTTTGTTCTTTTCGGACACCTTTCTGTTTTCTTAATGACATTCAATTCAGCATTAAATAAAGGCGCAAGTTTAAGTTTGTTCCACCTAAGCGAGAAAGTAATCACATTACATTACAGAGTTTGGGTAATCCAAAGATTATGTTACTGATACATTTTGGACAGGTAACTAGTAACTAATGGATTACATTTAGTAACCTACCCAACCCTGGTTGCAAGTGACATCGGAGTTCCGAACGGAACAATATGACAAGTCTTGTAGCTAAACTTTTTTCTGCTCACTGATTGGACATTGCATACAGTCAGTTGGTGAAATAGGACCGATTTCTAGCTTTTGCAATGCAATGCAACTAAGTTGCTGGCCATCTTTGTGGGTTGACACACTGAGCAACCCAGATTCAACTTTGTTGCAAGCAACAAAAATTGTGTCCAGATTGCTTCGTGTGACTTTGGCTTAAAGTAACTTCCTGTCATAGTCTCCTTTCCTTCCTCTACACTAGATCAGACAGGATTGAAGAAGTGATGATCCAATGACGAGCTTGTGCCACACTGCTTACTTACAACTGCCAAGTCTTCTCAGATTGGTGTGGAGAGGAAGAAGAGAACACAGGGAGAGGTAGTCACTATGGCTGTGACGGTCATGTCATTTTGGATTACGGTAATTAGTCAGCCAAATGACCGCGGTCACCGTTATAACCGTAGGAATAGCAAAACAAATTAGATATTTTTTTTTTGGGGGGGGGGGGGGGGCAATCTGCAGTTGCTACATCCATTTTTGGACTTGTGAATGATTGATTTGTACCCATTGATTCTTGAAGAATATAACTTACAAATGCCTCATGAGTTTAATTCAAATGTCATACCCCATCAGAACCTATAATATAAGCTTGTTTTACTCCAATGTATGTAAACAAAGTAAATCTAAACAAACACTTTACCCTAAAACTTGGTTAAAACTATCATTTTGACATCATGGATGGTCAGTCTTTGTATCCATAGCTCTGTTTATGAATTTGAGAGTGGTTACATTTCTCCAGCCCCATCCCTTAGCTTTTTACCAAAGCAGGTGTGCTTTGTTATCGTTCCAACCGCAGATTGCCACTTTAAAAGACACACATTTTCTTTCACCTTTGCTCCTGACTGCATGCGCTGCTGCAGGGAGGGGGGCATTGCCTAGGCAACCGAATACTTGTTCGCTACAACATCCTGCTTATTTCAGCAAGGAGCAACAAAGTTTCACCATTGTAGAGTCCATGTTACAGCAGAAACGGACTCAACCGCACAAATGCTAAGCCGTCCCGTCAGCTGTTAATTCCACCCCCAAAAAAAATATTATAATAATTTCAACGGTTATGAAGGTGATTTTATTTTCATGACGGTCTTCATCCATAACCGTCGGTTATACGGTAATTATGCCAGCCCTAGCAGTCACTCAACTTTATTGATGTCCTGCTACCCTGTGTACGTTGTGCATTCTGTGAATAGGGGTAAAACTCCATATCCCAGTGTCCTCAGTGGCGGTGGAGTTAGAGGTCAACCCCCTTAATGAGGGCCGTCTCCAGGGTAATGGGGAACTCGTGGAGGGTGTGGAGGATGCGGTAGAGGGAGTTGACGGCGGCGCAGTCCCGGACCAAAGCCGACTCCTCATAGAGACGAGCCGACAGGTGGCATCCGGCCAACAGAGGGAGCCACTGGGGCAGCAGCTGGTCCCTGCCAACACAGAGAGTCAAAGGTCAAATCATAACTTTCTCCACAGGTCTGTTCAGGAGGGCGCAATGCTACATAACGTTCAGACATAAATGCATTGTGTAGAACAAATCTGATTGCCTAACATGTAGAATAGAGGGATCATGTCCGCTCTATTCATTACATTTCTATCTGCAATGTTCTGAATGTTTCACCTCTCTATATCCATCCCATGATTCCTCTGATTAGGACGAAGTTGCCCTAAGGCCAACTGATCTAAGCAAAGTTCTGCATTTACGCAATAATGGTTAAGGATTGGAATTGGCGAGAGGAAGCTGATCCTAAATCTGTGCCTATAGGGGCAACTTGTACCTGGAGCTGTTGACTAGGTCCTCAGATTCAAGTTAGGCATTTTATTTAAAATTCAACAAAATCAATTAAGTGAGCTCATTCGATATAGGTTTTATTTGATGCCTCTTGCAGTAGTGGTCAGTTACTACCTAGGTAGTCCGTCGGAGGAAAATGTAGATACAATATAAAGAAGAGTACTATGTCAAAACAAAGCACCCCTTTTTCAAAAGCAAGCTCCAAGGCCTACCAAAGCCCTTCAGACCACTTACAGCCAAAATTCCTCGCTGAAATAACAGTGTGTGATGTAAATGGGTCAGGTCTGTGACTGAGGCCCCCTCTAGAATAGGCCTTGCACATACACGCATGTACCATATATTACAAACACTCGTATGCATGGACCAAGCTACCCCTTCCCTACCCCAGTGAAAAATGTATAGTGCCGCCCCTGGGCCTTGGAGACCAGGGCTCGTATCCACAAAGCCGCTCAGAAAAGGTCATAGGAATCCTGATAAAACCTATTTTAAGACAAAAAAAAACTCCCAGCTCAGAGTAGGTTTTAGGATGATGTTAACACACTGCCCAGACAAACTCTGAGCCAACTCATACAACATGATATTGCGCTCCAAAGGGATAATTTGAAATAACAATGTAGGTAATTAAATAATCAAAAGAAAAACATTTATTAGCCTATTTGTTATACGTTTTTAGGCATATGATGTGAAATAGGCCTTGTGAAATCATTGTCAAAGACAAGAGATGCTGTTGTATGCAGATCTAGGTTATTTATGGGTTGATCATATAGAATTATCAAAACATTTGAACAACTCCAAAGCAATTGCATGTGGCGCAGGAACCACTGACTCGCTGCATTTTTCTATTATCAAGACACCTGCTGGTAACTCTTAACTGGTTAGGACAGCTCATGAGGTGTCCTAAATATCTGTTGACTAGGTATGACTCATAATTAAAGAGGCTTTATGCATAGCTTTTATGTTTACTCATAAGAGTAAAATGTATATTCTCAGCATTCTCACGCGACCAATTATCTACTCTGAGATGCTTTGTGGATACAGGCCTAGTCCTGCTGCAAGCTACTGTCTGAGAAGCGCTCAGGGGCTTCCGGGGGAGGGAAATTGTGTAACTCTGACTGACACAATTAACACAACCACCAGAGGGCAGTGGTGACGTTCAGATTTTCATTAGAAGGCCCTGTTCGAATGCATCTATCAAGTCACACCTGCACAACTGGGGTCTATTCAGAAGGATGCAGGGTTCTGAACACGCAGATAGAAATAGGATGATCAGAGCTGAAATTATTCCCTATTTTGCATGACAGTCATATCTGTTCTACTAAATATATTTACAGTATATCTGAATGTTTTGTGATGTGACGTTACATCCTCCTGGCCCCTACCATCTCCCTCTCCATTGCCGTTTGAACTTTCAACTATGACCTCTCACCTGACTCCCAGGCAGATCAGCAGCTGGAACTTGCCCTCCTTGCCGATGTTCCGCGGCGAGGCATTGATGGCGTTGGCATAGTGACACAGAGAGTCACACAGTTCCGTTGACCCCCGCAAGTCACCCATCTGATCCGCCGTCTCCATGGAAACCACCACCTTCTCTGTGGGGGTGAGGTGGGGAGCAGGTATCACATTAGAAGGACAGGGTTCATAGAAATAGAATGACTAATCCTACACTAGAATTCTAGTAATTTTATTTCTATGACAGGGATGACCTCTGGATAACTATGGAATAAGGATCTGAGCTAAGGAGTCAGCCAAATTGAGAAGTTGTTATATGATTTCAGTAAGTGTAAGTACTGTTCTAGAAATATATTTTTTAGGATGTCGTAATAACTGTTTGAAGGCAAAGATGAGGCTGTTTACTGAGTGTTCTAGATGAATCATGCTGTGCTGCACTAACAATGAATAATGTAAAAGTTAACTTATCAGCCACAAGATTGAGACAAATTATATGGAATTACATTACTACACTCCACAATTTCTGTCCACGTGCACACACACACACCCACTTACCCACAAAGTCCCATATGAACACACTCCTCTGGAATAGGCGCGAGGACTTGAAGCCGTGTAGGAGGAACTGTTCCAGGGAGCGCACCAGCCCCCCCTCTCCACACAGCAGAGCAGTCAGGTTCCCCCTCTGAGGAGAGGAGAGGTCTTACATTCAGAAATGTTTGGGCATATTATCACAGAAATTGGAAAGCACGTTTAGTAAGCCAGGAGTCCACCCCAATGATGAAATTTGGCATATGTGTTCAATGGTATGAGAGTAGCCAATTTTCACAGGTCCCATAAAGTGTCCTTACAAATGAGGCACTATTGTCTTGCCTATGGTATCGTACAATTGTCGGGCTGGAGTGTGGAGGAGTTTAATTATGGTTGCCAAGGTGACAAACCCCAACCGAGGGCGATATTATTTAGTACACTTCATTTCCAGAGGGCTTTCAAAGTACCACTCTTCAGCTTTTCCTCCAGGTTCCAACAGCATATTAAGAATTAAAACAACCAAATCCAAAGCACTTGCTGTGACACAATCACCCAAAGCAGTGTGTTTTTATACATTATAATTTAATGGATTTTAAGGCACTTTCTTTTCAATTTTCTTTCATTTACAATTCACTGAGGGCCGGTGTAAATCTGCAAGGCTCCTCAGCCTCTGCTGTGCCAAGGAAAGGGCAATTTATTTAAGCTGATTGGTAGATGCATTGTCCTGGTGGTAGGGGTTAAGTGGCATCCATTTAAAATGTAATTACGGTGAGCTACAGGCCCCATGGTAGCAATACTGAGTGGCACAGTGGTCTAAGGCACTGCATCGCAGTGCTAGCTGTGCCGCTAGAGATCCTGGTTCGAGTCCAGGCTCTGTCGCAGCTGGCTGTGACCGGGAGACCCATGGGCGGCGCACAATTGTTCCAGCGTCGTCCAAGGTAGGGGAGGGTTTGGCCGGTAGGGATGTGGGTTCGTTTCCCACGGGGGGCCAGTATGAAAAAAACAAACATGTATGCATTCACTAACTGTAAGTCGCTCTGGATAAGAGCGTCTGCTAAATGACTAAAATGTAAATACTGCCGTGATTCACCAACAGTCTCTACAGGGCTGGGTGTTTAAAGGGGAGGTCAGGGCCCGTATCCACTAAGCATTCAGAAAAGGTCCTAGGAATCCTGTAAAAAAAAAAAAAAGTTTTAGGACAAACAAAAAAACTCCTAGCTCAGAGTAGGTTTTAGGATGATGTTAAAACACTGCTCAGAGAAACTCTGATCCAGGAGTAAAATCAACTCATAAAAGTTTAACTCAGCTCGTAATCACGACAGTTTAAGGTACCGCAAAGGAAAGATTGTGGTGACGCTCATTGACATTGTTGCAAATCATGGGGAATAACCAATCGCAATGAGGCATCGCCAGCTGTGAACTCTATAGCACGCTACACAAAACCAAGGTGAACCAAATGTTGCAATGGTAAAACATTTGATAGCCTATCATTTTAACCTGACACGATCACTTTGCCTACTCTTTATTCTTGCCTAAGATGTTGGCATGCATACATTTTTTTTTAAATACTGTGATAGGCCTATTGCACTGAATCATACAGTATCTTAAAAGCAAATGCCTGTCTATGGCATGGGAACCACTGACTCGCTGCCTTTCATCAAGACACCTGCTGGCAACTTAACTGGTTAGGACAGCTCGAGCTCTCCTAAAAATCTGTCGACTAGGTAGGACTCTTATGACTAAAGAGGCTTCATGAATAGCTTTTATTTTTTGCCATAAGAGTAGGAGTAAAATGTCTATTCTTAGACTTATGACCAATTTTCTACTCTGAGACACTGTGGATACGGCCCCAGTGCAGGCTTTTAAAGGGGAGGTCAGAGCAGGCCATAGACTAGAGAGAAAAAAGCCAGTCTGCCTTTTAACTGTGAGAGATTCTGCCTTGCAGAGTGAAGGTCATGAATCGTGCACAAGAAACACGAACACACTAGGGTTGGGCGGTATCCAGATTTTCATACAGTTCCTGTACCATACCGGGGTATACGGTATTACCGGCAGTGGACACAAGGGACGCTATTTCTTTCCAAACGTAAAAAACCCACAGAACAATTTAGGCAGCAGGGATAATGATCCAGGAGGGGATGGATTGTCTCTGCTGTAACCAAGAAGCTTGATCTTGCAAACTAGCCACTTATCTAGCAAGTTAGCAAACCAAATTCATAGCTGGAGCCCTGGGGCCTCATTTACAAAACGTTGCGTACGTACAAATTATACCCCAAAACATGTGCAGCAGTTTTCACGCAGAAGTTTGAATTTATAAGAACTGAAATGTGAGAATGTGCTTTCCTCGCCGCAAACTTTAGACCATGCGTACACACATCCTAGAGGCTAAAAATATACACTACACAGTAGCCTGTTCGGCTTAAGCCTATATATAGCCTGCACATTGTTGTTAAAATAGTGCTATACAAATAAAATGCAGAATTATTTGTATTATTCTTATTATTGTCACTTATTATTTTAGCAAATTTTTTACATTCTAGGTTAGATATAATTTGTCACTTTGGCCTATGGCTACTCCTTATAGGCTAATCAATTATTACTCATTAGCATTTAACATTGATGCATTTCACAGCACTGATGCAAGCAATTACTCCAAATTGTCTATGTATATATAAATAGACCCATGTGTGTTCTAGACTAGTTGCATCCAAAGACCATGGCTGCGTTGGCATGGTTTTTCTCCGCGAGCATCTTTTGAGACTAGCAGATTTATTTGCCCATGATGATGACTGGCTTATGAGCCAATACAGGTTCCCCAGAGCCATTTTGTTGGACCTATGTGCTGAACTGGGGTAAATGCTTGCACGGCCTACACGCCGCAATCAGGCAATACCTGTCCATGTACAGGTTTTGACCACTGTTGGGTTCCTAGCCACAGGGACCTTTCAGAGGGAACTGTTTGGCAGATCGGGAATATCACAGCCCTCCCCTGGCATCATCCGTCTGTGTCCGAGGTACATACGGTTCCCCTACACAGCCGGTGAACAGGCAAACAAACTGCAATTTGCAGCGATGGCCGGTTTTCCAAATTGTAATCGGGGCGATCGACTGCACTCGTGTTGCAATAAGGGCAACAGTGAGAACGAGTTTGTGTACGTGAACTGGAAACTTCCACTCCATCAATGTGCAAGTGATTTGTGATCTACAAATGGCACTCACCAATGTTGTTGACCTTTGGCCCGGTTCAAGTCACGACTCGTTCATCCGGATGAACAGCAGTGTGAGCAACAGACTATATATAAGCTATATAGTTAGCAGGCCTAATTATGAAATAGTCACAATTATTTCCCCTGCATCATGTAAATGTTTTTTCCTCCTCCTCCCAGATGATAGGGTATATCCCCTTAAACCCTGGCTGCTCACCAACCCCCAGGACGCACAAGAGAGGCGCTTCAATGAGCTCCAGTGTCGCATCTGCTCCCTTGTGGAGCGTACAATAGGTGCAATAAAAGGGAGATGGCTGTGCTTTGATACACGCGGTGGGAGACTCCTGTACAAGCCTGAGAAAGCGTGCATAATTGTAATGGCTTGCTGTGTGTTGCACAACATGGCTGTGCGCAATTGGGTTCCCATCCTCCCAGAGGACATGAGACCCGATGATCCTCAGGACAACTACCAATCTCCTAGCAAGCAGCCAAATGCAACCACAATTCAGTTGCGACTGGGTGTTATTCATTGTTTTCAAAGAAGTTTGGATAGTCCTTATTCGGTCCATATAGATTTATGAGCCATAACTGTTTATCATCAAGTAGTATATTCAAGGCAATCCATCTTCCTCAAGGATCTATTGTAATGGATTGTACCTCAAGATCCAAATAGTTTTTGAATAGGATCAAAACACCTTTTGAATTTCTTAACCCATGACTGAAATACATTTGACCATCCCATTCTTTTTCCCAGGCCACTTCAGAAGATATTAAATGAGTTTCCTGAAGACAATAAATATGGTAATCTTTATCCTTTAGCCATGTAAAAACTGCTCTTCCTTTCTTATTATCAGCCAAACCATTGGAATTATAGCTAGCTATACTTAATTCACTGATCATCATCATGGGTTACATTTTGAGATACTTATCACTGTCCTTACCACCATTTTGAAATACTTATCCATACTAACTCTAAGTAGACCTCCAGTTGTCCTCCAATAACCCTCCCACAAAACAATAAACAAGACATTCAAAAAATAACTGTAAATCCCTTCCTTTTCCACTTAGATACTTCCAGCATGAATCTGTCCTACACATTTTACATTACACATTTTACATTACACTGTTGCACAGTTGAGAGTACGACCTTATTGGTGCCTCCGGAGTGGTCATTCCCCTTAATGCAGATTATTGGTCATTGGCTATGTATCTATGCAATACAAAGAAAAAAAATATATAGTCTTTGCCAGACTTAAATGCGCTCTATTCAACCACAAATGTGACCTGTTTCAGGAAGCTAGGCGTATGTCGCACGTCACTACTTCACAGGAGAGGCATTTGAACTAGAACTCAATGCGTTTTTTTTTGGCAGAAATACCTTCTGGAACATGTGAACTTTCATGTGCCTTAATAAGACTTGTATGCCATCTGTAAATACGAATACAATTGTTAAATTATGAGCCTAGTTGGTTTAGCCATGGAAAAAGACTGGAACTTTCCCTCTAGCCATGATTGGCAGAGATAATGGATAGGCTGGACATGCCGAGAGATGAGTTCGGATTGGTCTGTCATGTAGAATGCTTCTCTCTATAACATGAGCTGCTCAGTATGTGTAGATACTTGCTACCGTGGCTTTTTAAATAAATCTAACGTTAGCCATGGAGAACTGCAAAAGTGTTGCTACTACTCTCAACAACATTGCTGCCCTGAATTTAGAAGGCACTATTGACAAAGATCAGTGGGAAAAAGCTGTGATGGACTTCTTCTGCACACGGTCAGTGTGAACCGGAGTGATTTGACGCAACGCGGGCCAAACAAAACGGACACGACACAGAACGTCTTACTTAGTTAAAGGGGTTCCAGTCTGCCGTAAAGTGTTCATCCATATATACGGGTAAGATACCATTTGCATTGCTAGTTATAACCTAATGTTAGCTAGCTAGCTAACATTGAACGTAGTTGGTTAGCTTTAGGTACTTGCAGATTCATACTACAGCATTTCATGCATGGTGGCTGGCTATGACAATCCGTTTGTATTGCTAGTAGTATGGGTTGGGATTATGGTTCATTATTTAGCTAGCTAGCTACAGGTCTAAACAAAAAGACTCCACTTCACCAGATGATTACATGACCCATCAAGTTCGCCAGGTGTGTCTGGGGGTGATTACGTCCATCTATTGTATTTCATGAACATGTGTAAATGTCTAGACAATAGTGACCCATCTTCTTAGGTAGATGTGGCTGGGGGGTGGTTATAGCGTTTCTTTCACATGACCAATCAATTTAGACAAGTGTGTCTGGGTAAGCATAATCTAATAATTATTCTATTTTTGATATTGCAACTATGCAAATGGTCAAAGTCAGATTAGGATATAGGCCAAGGACTAGATAGTATGTTTTTACCTGGAGTTTTTCCATATTGTAGGCTACTACTTTCACCACTTTCAGTCTTGAAATCTTTGGTTGTTTACAACACTACCTTACTCACTCTGTTTAGCACATGGCCTCACATGTGAATCCTTAAAGAGATGGGTGTGGCTAAGGCTTCAGAGGGTGTGAACGATGCTGAATAGGTGTAGAAAAAGAAGAGCTCTTCAGTAGGTGTACCAAAATTCAAGGGCCATTTTCTAAAAAGTTGGGTTACAAGTTAATCAACTTTCAAAGCAGAATAACTTTCCCATTGTTCCTAAACTGTAGTTTATGATATAGAATTTTGTAGCCCGTAAAAATTGTCTGTCCTCGGTTGCAACACTCACTACCGAGTTCCAAATTGCCTCTGGAAGGAACGTCAGCACAATAACTGTTCATCGGGATCTTCATGAAATGGGTTCCCATGGCTGAGCAGCCGCACACAAGCCTAAGATCACCATGCGCAATGCCAAGCATCGGCTGGAGTGGTGTAAAGCTCGCCGCCATTGGACTCTGGAGCAGTGGAAACACGTTCTCTGGAGTGATGAATCACGCTTCACCATCTGGCAGTCCGAAGGACAAATCTGGGTTTGCAGATGCCAGGAGAACGCTACCTGCCCCAATGCATAGTGCCAACTGTAAAGTTTGGTGGAGGAGGAATAATGGTTCGGGCTAGGCCCCTTAGTTCCAGTGAGGGGAAATCTTAACACTACAGCATACAATGACATTCTAGACAATTCTGTGCTTCCAACTTTGTGGCAACAGTTTGGTGAAGGCCCTTTCCTGTTTCAGCATGACAATGCCCCCATGCACAAAGCGAGGTCCATACAGAAATGGTTTGTCGAGATCGTTGCGGAAGAACTTGACTGGCCTGCACAGAGCCCTTACCTCAACCCCATCGAATACCTTTGGGATGAATTGGAACGCCGACTGCGAGCCAGGCCTAACATCAGTGTCCGACCTCACTAATGCTCTTGTGGCTGAATAGAAACAAGTCCCCGCAGCAATGTTCCAACATCTAGTGGAAAGCCTTCCCAGAAGAATGGAGGCTGTTATGGCAGCAAAAATAGGACAAACTCCATATTAATGCCCATGATTTTGACGAGCAGGTGTCCACATACTTTTGGTCATGAAGTGTGTGTGATATAGATCACACATACACTGAGTATACCAAACATTAGGAACACCTTCCTATAATTGAGTTGCACCCCCCCCTTTTGCCCTTAGAACAGCCTTCATTTGTCGGGGAATGGGCTCTACATGGTGTCGAAAGCATTCCACAGGGATGCTGGCCCATGTTGACTCCAATGCTTCTCACAGTTGTGTCAAGTTGGCTGGATGTCCTTTGGGTGGTGGACCATTCTTGATACACACTGGAAACTGTTGAGCATGAAAAACCCAGCAGCGTTCCAGTTCTTGACACAAACCGGTGTGCCAGGCACCTACTACCATACCCTGTTCAAAGGCACTTAAATCTATTGACTTGCCCATTTACCCTCTGAATGGCCACACATACACAATCCATGTCTCAATTGTCTCAAGGCTTAAAAATCCTTCTTTAACCTGTCTCCTCCCCTTCATCTGCACTGATTGAAGTGGATTTAACAACTGACATCAATAAGGGATCATAGCTTTCACCTGGATTCACCTGGTCAGTCTATGTCATGGAAAGAGCAGGTGTCCATAATATTTTGTATACTCAGTGTATAATTATACGACTTATGATTCCATTGCTAAATCCAATATACACAGAGTAAACCAAACATTAGGAACACCTTGGAAACATGCGTATATGTGACGTCCACCAAGTTTATAAATCTCAATATTTTTTGACGTACACAGTCTTTTCAGAAATGCCGCACGCAGATATGAAATGTGAAATGAAACGGTTATGAGACCCCTGAGCTGGAGATAATTAATTTGGCACATCTCAGATACAGTTCCTTCAGAAAGTATCCATACCCTTTGACTTATTCCACATTTTGTTGTGTTACAGCCTGAATTCAAAATGGATTCAATTGAAACAGAAATATCTAATTTATAATTTTACATAAGTATTCAAACCCCTGAGTCCACACTTTGTAGAAGCACCTTTGGCAGCGATTACAGCTGTGAGTCTTTCTGGGTAAGTCTCGAAGAGCTTTCCACACTTGGATTGTGCAACATTTGCCCATTATTCTTTTCAAAATTCTTCAAGCTCGGTCAAATTGACATTGCTAGACAACCATTTTCAGGTCTTACCATAGACTTTAATGTAAATGTAAATTTTTAATTTGAGAATACACAGAGCTGGTAAAACTATTTCTGGAAAATCTATTCTGATAAATTCAAAATAAATGATTTAATTACCCTTAAAATTCCATGAAAAACCAATAAATATGTATAGCAGCCTAGAGGTAGGTAAATGGTGGTTTCTTCCCAGTCTTCTCTCTGGAGGTGGCGAGAATGATGAAGAACTGTAGACTAGGTGTGTGCAATGTGGAGGCCAATCAGAACGTCCCTTTGCAGCATGCACGTTTAGCAGAGGCTAATTTCTTTGACAGCTGGTTAGCTGGCTAATGGCGACAACACAAACAAGCATTGGCGCATTCTTTTTTTTAAATGCAAAAGCTGCACAACTACCACCACCAATAGGCCTGACACAAACACAAACAACAGCCAGCAAGTCGACATAGTTGAAGATCCTGATTCAGTTCCTTCCTCATCTGACCTGGCTACTAGCATGGCAGCCCCACCATGACCTTGATGGCTCCCGCCCAGTCCCCGGGTCCAGACCCGATCTCTGCAACACTGACAGCTCCTGATTACACCACCTCGGCTACATATCTCAACAAGTCCTCAGCTACCAATCCCGGCACTACTGCAGCTACCTCGGTTCCCTCAGATGACAGGACAGCTCCTCTCCCCACAGCTGGTACCACCAACATGGCACCAATGTCTCGCAAGATCACATAATGATTATTTGCATTTTACATAACAGAACCGAATAGCATAGTACAGCATCATTTCTAATGAGATTTTAGGATGGTTAGCTGAAGCCGAATAGTAACTTATTTTTTCTCATGCGCCAATACTCAGTGTGCCACTATTCAGGATATATGCTTTGATAGTTTATTGGTTTATTCTGATTTAATATACACTGAACAAAAATATAAACTCAACATGTAAAGTGTTGGTCCCATATTTCATGAGCTGAAAAAAAAAAACACGTAGGGGGAAGGGGGAACCACGTTTGACTCCTTTCCATTGATTCCATTCCTGCCATTACAATGAGACCATCCTCCTATAGCTCTTCCCACCTGCCTCCACTAATCCAGGGGGTTTCAGACTGGTCCAGAGACGTTTATTTGGAGGGGGGGTAGGGGGAAAATCATACTATAGGTACTTCTAAATTCCCCAAGCCTAGCGCACACACAGACGCAAGCATGCCTGCGCAGACCAGCACACACACACACACACACTCTTCTCATCAGAGATAAGACCTCTCGGCTGTGCTCTCTCTATTTTCTGTTTTTGGAATCTTTCACACACACCTACCTCCTGCTCTGCTTTGTGGAAGTGCTTGACGAGGTTGTTTACTGCCTCCCTCATTTCCTCCTGCACCTGGACAGAAGACAGTCCTGAATGGAGGAGAGAGAGATCGAGAGGATAATGGAGAAGAGATGGAGGGATTGAGAGGAGGAAGAGATGGGAAGATGGACAATGGCATGAAAGACGATAAGGAGCGTAGAAAAAGAGAGCATTAAAAGTAAGGTATAGCAATGAGTGACTGTTTTTTTTTTTTGCGCATTTTACTCATGACAATAGAAAGATAAAATATGATGGTTGACTGTTCATATAAAAAAAGTGTAATATCTGTTTTTGACTTTCCTTTTTACAATTACAGCTGCAAACTGTCTGTCTATGTATCTGTGTGTGTGTGTGTGTGTCCCATACATACTGTTGTTACTGTTGCTGCGCCCCAGTGACCCCAGACCCCCATGCGTCCACTCTGAGGGGGCGAGCCCTGCTCTGGATCTAAACTCAACATGTATGTTTGTCCATATTTCATGAGCTGAAAAATATATCATCCCATATACACAAAAAGCGTACTTCTCAAATGTTTTACACAAATTTGTTTACATCCCTATTGGAGAGCATTTCTCCTTTGCCAAGTTAATCCATCCACCTGACAGGTGTGGCATATCAAGAAGATAATTAAACAGCATGATAATTACTGTTGAGGAGTATTTCTGTATGTAATAAATATATTTTGTGGGGAAAAACTCAATCTGATTGGCTGGGTGGGTCTATGCCCTCCCAGGCCCACCCATGGACGCGCCCCTGCCCAGTCAGGTGAAATCCAAAGATTAGGGCCTAATGAATGTATTTCAATTGCCTGATTTCCTTATATGAACTGTAACAGTAAAATTGTTGAAATTGTTGCATGTTGCATTTATATTTTTGCTCAGTATAGTAAACTTGATAGCTACTTCAGTGGATGTTTAACAGATTTCTAGCGGCCAATCAACACACTTCTAACGGCAAATTTGTTATATTATAGCCACCTCCTGGGCAGTGGGGGGGGGGGGGGGTCACCTCCTGGGCAGTGGAGGCTGGTGGGAGGAGCTATAGGTGGACGAGCTCATTGTAATGGCTGGAATATAATACAGTGGGGAGAACAAGTATTTGATACACTGCCGATTTTGCAGGTTTTCCTACTTACAAAGCATGTAGAGGTCTGTAATCCAGAAAATCACATTGTATGATTGTTAAGTAATTAATTTGCATTTTATTGCATGACATAAGTATTTGATACATCAGAAAAGCAGAACTTAATATTTGGTACAGAAACCTTTGTTTGCAATTACAGAGATCATACGTTTCCTGTAGGTCTTGACCAGGTTTGCACACACTGCAGCAGGGATTTTGGCCCACTCCTCCATACAGACCTTCTCCAGATCCTTCAGGTTTCGGGGCTGTCGCTGGGCAATACAGACTTTCAGCTCCCTCCAAAGATGTTCTATTGGGTTCAGGTCTGGAGACTGGCTAGGCCACTCCAGGACCTTGAGATGCTTCTTACGGAGCCACTCCTTAGTTGCCCTGGCTGTGTGTTTCGGGTCGTTGTCATGCTGGAAGACCCAGCCACGACCCATCTTCAATGCTCTTACTGAGGGAAGGAGGTTGTTGGCCAAGATCTCGTGATACATGGCCCCATCCATCCTCCCCTCAATACGGTGCAGTCGTCCTGTCCCCTTTGCAGAAAAGCATCCCCAAAGAATGATGTTTCCACCTCCATGCTTCACGGTTGGGATGGTGTTCTTGGGGTTGTACTCATCCTTCTTCTTCCTCCAAACACGGCGAGTGGAGTTTAGACCAAAAAGCTATATTTTTGTCTCATCAGACCACATGACCTTCTCCCATTCCTCCTCTGGATCATCCTTATGGTCATTGGCAAACTTCAGACGGGCCTGGACATGCGCTGGCTTAAGCAGGGGGACCTTGCGTGCGCTGCAGGATTTTAATCCATGACGGCGTAGTGTGTTACTAATGCTTTTCTTTGAGACTGTGGTCCCAGCTCTCTTCAGGTCATTGACCAGGTCCTGCCGTGTAGTTCTGGGCTGATCCCTCACCTTCCTCATGATCATTGATGCCCCACAAGGTGAGATCTTGCATGGAGCCCCAGACCGAGGGTGATTGACCGTCATCTTGAACTTCTTCCATTTTCTAATAATTGCGCCAACAGTTGTTGCCTTCTCATCAAGCTGCTTGCCTATTGTCCTGTAGCCCATCCCAGCCTTGTGCAGGTCTACAATTCTATCCCTGATGTCCTTACACAGCTCTCTGGTCTTGGCTATTGTGGAGAGGTTGGAGTCTGTTTGATTGAGTGTGTGGACAGGTGTCATTTATATAGGTAACAAGTTCAAACAGGTGCAGTTAATACAGGTAATGAGTGGAGAACAGGAGTGCTTCTTAAAGAAAAACTAACAGGTCTGTGAGAGCCGGAATTCTTACTGGTTGGTAGGTGATCAAATACTTATGTCATGCAATAAAATGCAAATTAATTACTTAAAAATCATACAATGTGATTTTCTGGATTTTTGTTTTAGATTCCGTCTTTCACAGTTGAAGTGTACCTATGATAAAAATTACAGACCTCTACATGCTTTGTAAGTAGGAAAACCTGCAAAATCGGCAGTGTATCAAATACTTGTTCTCCCCACTGTACATGGAACGGTATCAAACAGATAAAACATATGGAAACCACGTTTGACTCCTTTCCATTGATTCCATTCCTGCCATTACAATGAGGCCATCCTCCTATAGCTCTTCCCACCTGCCTCCACTAATCCAGGGGGGTTCAGACTGGTCCAGAGCCGTTTATTTGGAGGGGGGGTACGGTATTGAAAATCATACTATAGGTACTTCTAAATTCCCCAAGCCTAGCGCACACACAGACGCAAGCAGGCCTGCGCAGACCAGCACACACACACATACTCTTCTCATCAGAGATAAGACCCCTCGGCTGTGCTCTCTCTATTTTCTGTTTTTGGAATCTTTCACACACACACACACACACACACACACACACACACACACACCTACCTCCTGCTCTGCTTTGTGGAAGTGCTTGACGAGGTTGTTTACTGCCTCCCTCATTTCCTCCTGCACCTGGACAGAAGACAGTCCTGAATGGAGGAGAGAGAGATCGAGAGGATAATGGAGAAGAGATGGAGGGATTGAGAGGAGGAAGAGATGGGAAGATGGACAATGGCATGAAAGACGATAAGGAGCGTAGAAAAGAGAGCATTAAAAGTAAGGTATAGCAATGAGTGACTGTTTTTTTTTTTTTGCGCATTTTACTCATGACAATAGAAAGATAAAATATGATGGTTGACTGTTCATATAAAAAAAGTGTAATATCTGTTTTTGACTTTCCTTTTTACAATTACAGCTGCAAACTGTCTGTCTATGTATCTGTGTGTGTGTGTGTGTGTCCCATACATACTGTTGTTACTGTTGCTGCGCCCCAGTGACCCCAGACCCCCCATGCGTCCACTCTGAGGGGGCGAGCCCTGCTCTGGGGGTGTCCCCGTCCACCTCCCAGAATCCTCCTCTCCTCTGGGAGACACCAGCTGACCAATCAGTACCCTCTCCAGGCTGCCGTCACCCACACCCTTCCCCAGCCAGCGGCCACACGGGAACCTGGGAGGAGAGCGGGGGTGTAGAGCGATAATGGGGTCAGAGGTTAGATGTGAAATAGAGCAAGTGAGAAGTCATTTGGGACTGGGCAATTCAGAATTTTGAAGGAGAGTCAAATTCATTGGGCACCAAACAAAAATGGAGGGACTACCTGAACTCATTTTCCTTTCCTGTTGCAGAATGTTTAAAACATGTTTTCCGTTGCATGCCCTAATGAACATGACCTAGGTGAGTGCAGAAATTAGAGCAACACTTTTCTAAATAACTTGGTCAAAAAGGTGTGGAGTTCAATGCAGGTTTGACACACAGCCAAAACAGTGTGTCCATACAGTGTCCATACAGTATGTGTGTGTTACCTGTAGGTGTGTCCAGTGATCTCGTTGTGCACAATCACACAGTCCACCAGACACTTAGCCAGTAAGCCAGAGTTCTCCTGCCCCAACTGCAGGGTGCTCAGCCTGCCCAGGTTCTGACACTGACACAGAGACAGAGACAGACCAGAGTGAGAACTGTGTGTGTGTGTGTGTGAGAGAGATTTGTGAGAATGTGTGTACGTGTAGGTGTGTGTATATGTGTGCGCGTTTGCACGTGTGTTTGATGGAGAATTCCCGAAGCAGTAGCTTCCATCCACGCCACCCAGCCTAGAGGAACAGAGCCTCTCACCTGGAAGAAGATCTCCTGTGTGTTCTTGGGGATCTGCCTGACCCCAGAGTCACCAAGCTCTCCAGACACACACACCCAGGGGTTGGACATTGTCATGGCGATGCTCAGCTTCTTCATGGGCGTTATGACAACACGGTATGGAATGCCTGAAGGGACACAAGAACATTTACATTTTGGTCAGTTACTTAAAGGGGTCCCTCAGGGTTCAATAATTGGCCCACTATTGTTCTCACTTTATATAAACAACATTGGTGATGATGTCAGATATTGTAAATTCCATTTATACAGTGGGGGAAAAATTATTTAGTCAGCCACCAATTGTGCAAGTTCTCCCACTTAAAAAGATGAGAGAGGCCTGTAATTTTCATCATAGGTCCACGTAAACTATGACAGACAAATTGAGAAAATAAAATCCAGAAAATCACATTGTAGGATTTTTAATGAATTTATTTGCAAATTATGGTGGAAAATAAGTATTTGGTCACCTAAAAACAAGCAAGATTTCTGGCTCTCACAGACCTGTAACTTCTTCTTTAAGAGGCTCCTCTGTATTAATGGCATGTGAAAACCTTGTGAAGACTTACAGAAAACGTTTGACCTGTGTCATTGCCAACAAAGGGTATATAACAAAGTATTGAGAAACTTTTGTTATTGACCAAATACTTATTTTCCACCATAATTTGCAAATAAATTCATTAAAAATCCTACAATGTGATTTTCTGGATTTTCTTTTCTCATTTTGTCTTTCATAGTTGACGTGTACCTATGATGAAAATTACAGGCCTCTCTCATCTTTTTAAGTGGGAGAACTTGCACAATTGGTGGCTGACTAAATACTTTTTTCCCCCACTGTATGCAGATGACACTGTGATGTACTCTATTGCTCCAACAGCGGACCAAGCTTTAATGCAGTTGGAGTCTGATTTTAGGATACTACAGGGGTCTCTTTTACAGCTTAAACTTGTTTTAAACTCTAAGAAAACAAATGTCATGTTTTTTTCTAGGTCTAAACTCTCAATTAGAAACACTTTTGTAATCACTAGCTTGGATGGTACCCAAATCAAACTGGTCTCTGCATATAAATACTTAGGGGTATGGTTAGATGATAGGCTTTCTTTTAAAAAACATGTTACTGAATTGGGAAAAAAGCTCAAATTCAAGATAGGGTTCCTTTACAGAAACAGGGCTTGTCTGTCCTCCGTAAATAGAAAACAAATTGTGCAGGCTACTTTTATGTCCGTTTTAGATTATGGTGATATTATCTATATGCATGCATCGGCAAACACATTAAAACCACTGGATGCTATTTACCATTGTGCACTCAGGTTTATCACGGGTGATAGTTACAAAACTCATCACTGTTTCCTATATCAACATGTGGGTTGGGCCTCTCTATCTGTGAGGCGAGAGCAACATGCTCTCTTGTTTATTTATAAAGCACTTCTTTTAAAACTACCTCCATATATATCATCATTAATTTCCACTAGATATACTAATTTTAAAACCAGATCACAGATGTGGATTACATTAGAGACTCCTGTGGTCTCCACAGAGTTGGGTAGGACTGCCTTCAGTTCCTTTGCACCTTATTTATGGAACAAACTGCAGATCCAACTTAAGTTAGACACTCTGGTGTCCCTTGCCCATTTTTAAAATGTTATGGAGGATCAATATGATGTTGTCTGTGATTGTTTCTGTTGAATTGTGTTTTTGTTTTGTATGTTTGAAATTTTCTTGTCTGTATGTCTAAAACTGTACATGTCAACATGTTTACACAGGGCACAGCCGTAAAAGAGATCCTGGTCTCAGTCTTTTTTTCCCTGTTAAAATAAAGATTTTTTTTTATTATTTTTTTTTAGCAGATGCTCTTATCCAGAGCGACTTACAGGCAGTGAACACATTTCACATTTCAGTGAATGTTAGATGTTTACGGACCTTGCCTTACAGGTACCTCTAGTTGAGGGTTCCCCAAACTCGGTTTTATTTGCCCCCCCCCCCCCCCAAGTTTTGAGCAAAAAAAATATTCAATCATTGTTGGACATAAGACTGTAAAAAAAAAAAAAAAAACAGGAAATCAGCTCCAAGTGATTTTGATTTAAGAAATCTGTTCAAGTATTCTCACGCATAATAGAGACACATGATCGTATACAAATGTAAACAAGGTCTGAAATGATTATGTTTTAGTGAAACATTATGTCCGTTTGGGCTTCTTGCGGTGAACTTGCAGTCTACAAATGTATTTGTAATTATGTTCCAGACCCCCGACCATTCGCTCAAGAAAAAAATTGGCCCGCGGCTGAATCTAGTTGAAACCAGCTAACAATGTTTGGATCCCTAGTACGTTAGTGGTAACGTTCCTCTATCCAAGATGCCAGTGTTCTAAAAACATTCCTTCTTAAAACGTTTCAGGAACTGTCTAAGAACGTTTTTCAGAACTGCAGGTAGATGTTGACTTATGATGTGAAGATAATATTTCTGCAATATCATTCTAATAACTAAAAACACTCCAATAACGTTAGGAAAACACTTCTCATACAACCAAATAGGAATAAGGAACCAATGAGAACACACCCGATATGTTCTAGGAACGTTTCTGGTTTCAGTATCTTGGAAGCTGGGACATTTTTTGTTGTTGCAGAAAACTAAAATGAACGTTTCTCATTGGACAATTCCAGGTACTCTGTCCCAGTTGCAATCAGTTTCCTTCCATTTGGTGCCAAATGAACACAGCCCTGTGGAATCTGCCAGACTTACTGATGGAGGTGAATGTGCGTGTGAAGCAGAGGTAGTCCACAGTGTTGAGGGACAGCAGGTGGAACAGGAACTGCTCCCTCTCCTCCTCACACAGGAGGAACGCATGGGGCTTGTACAGCTGCCTGTAGGGAGGGGACCGAAAAGTTAACACACACCTCACAGAGAAAATAAATGAAGCATTTATCTGTCATTACCCTTTTCACGTCATCGTGCCAACCCGAACCGTGCTGGCTCAAATATTTTATTTTCACATTGTCCTTTCCAGCACGGTCCTAGCAACTATCGTGGATGTGCAGCACAGTACAGCTTGGCTTGGCTCTGCTCAGCTCAAGTTTCAAGTACAGTGAAATGCCTTTCTTGCAAACTCAAAAGACAACAATGAAATAACAATTTATCTCTAGAAAAACCACACAAAAAATAAGAGTAAGAAATACACAATAAAGTAAGTAAGCATACTATATACAGGAAATATTCAGTTCCAATACCATATTTGAGTGATGGAGGTAGATATGTATAGGGATAAGGGGACTTGGCAACAGGATATAAGATAAACAGAGCAGCAGCAGCTTGTATGTGAGTGGGTGTATAGAGTCAGTATAAATGTATGTGCATATTATGTGTGAGTGAGAAAATGATGGAGTGAGTGTTGGAGTGACAGTGTGTGTAGGGCCTTGTGAGTGTACATAGAGACAATTTTAATAAAAGGTGAATAAAGATACAAGGTTAACTCAGATAGTCTGTGTAGCTATTTAATCAGTCTTATTGCTTGGGGATAGAAGCTGTTCAAGAGCCTGTTGGTGTCAGACTTGGTGCACCGGTACCTTTTGCCGTGCGGTAGCAGAGAAAATAGTCTATGGCTTGGGTGGCTGGAGTCTTTAACGATTTTCACCGCCTTATATTGAGGTCCTGGATGGCAGGGAGCTCGGCCCCAGTGATGTACTGGGCTGTCCGCACAAACCTCTATAGCGCCATGCGATTGAGGGTGGTGCTATTGCCATACCAAGCAGTGATGCAGCCAGTCAATATGCTCTCAATGGTATAGCTGTAGAACCTTTTCAGGATTTGAGGGCCCATGCCAAACTTTTCAACCTCCTGAGGGCACCTTCTTCACGACTGTGCGTGTGTGTTTGGACCATTTTAAGTCTTTAGTGATTTGGACACAGAGTAACTTGAAGCTGTCTACAAGCTCCACTGCCGCCCTGTCGATGTAGATGGGGGTGTGCTCACCCCCACTGTTTCCTTCAGTCCACAATCAGCTCCTTGGTCTTGCTGACGTTGAGGGAGAGGTTGTTGCTCCGGCACCACACTGCCAGGTCACTGACCTCCTCCCTGTAGGCTGACTCATCGTCGGCGGTGATCAGGCCTACCACCGTTGTGTCGTCAGCGAAGTTGATGATGGTGTTGGAGTGTGTGGCCACGCAGTTGTGGGTGAACAGGAAGTACAGGAGGTGACTAAGCACACACCCCTGTGTTAAGGGTCAGCGTGGCGGATGTGATGTTGCCTACCCTCATCACCTGGGGTCGGCACGTCAGGAAATCCAGGATCCAGTTGCAGAGGGAGGTGTTCAGACCCGGAGTCCTACGTTTGGTGACGAGATTGAAGGGGACAATGGTGTTGAACGCTGAGCTGTAGTCAATGAACAGCATTCTCACATAGGTATTCCTCTATTCTAGGTGGGTGAGGGCAGTGTGCAGAGCAATTGAGATTGCGTCATCTATGGATCTGTTGGGGTGGTATGCAAATTGGAGTGGGTCTAGGGTGTCTGGGATGGTGGAGTTAATGTGTGCCATAACCAGCCTCTCAAAGCACTTCATGAATACAGAAGTGAGTGCTACTGGGCGGTAGTCATTGTGGCATGAAGACTTAGAGTTCTTAGGAACAGGAATGATTGTGGTTAGTAGTGTGAAGAGGGTATATGTGATATGTGTGTACCTGAGTAGGTTCTGGTTGGCCAGCAGCAGTTTGAGGTGTTGCGAGAGCAGTTTCTTCTCCAGGGAAAGATGGATCCAGGCCCGCGCCCGACCCACCTCACTGAGACCCTCACTCATAGTCTGGACAAACCTAAAAAAAAATATCAGAAATTCAATGGTTTTCAAAGATAGCAGTGTGTTGGGTTGTGTTGCACTGTCCGTTGGGTTATGTTGCGGTTTATTACCTCATATCCTGTACAAAGGAGCCCTTCGGGGGTGGAAGCCCCTCCTCTAGCCTCGTGCTGTCCAGCCCATTGGACACTGTAACCAGGAAGAGAGAGTGATTGGCAGATGTGATCAGACTTGACAGAGTACACGTAGCAGACAAACTATTATCTTGTTAATGGCTAGCAGTCCAGACCATAGAATGATTGTGGCATGATTAGATAGATATATTACTGTACTAAATTCCTAGTATGTGTCTAGCCTGGTCCCAGATCTGTTTGTGCTGTATATTCAATTCCAATGATCATTGGCAGCACAAACAGATCTGGGACAAGGCTAGTATGTAAACTCAGCAAAAAAAGAAACGTCCTCTCACTGTCAACTGCGTGTATTTTCAGCAAACTTAACATGTGTAAATATTTGTATGAAGATTCAGATTCAACAACTGAGACATAAACTGAACAAGTTCCACAGACATGTGACTAACAGAAATTGAATGTGTCCCTGAACAAAGGGGGGGTCAAAATCAAAAGTAACAGTCAGTATCTGGTGTGGCCACCAGCTGCATTAAGTACTGCAGTGCATCTCCTCCTCATGGACTGCACCAGATTTGCCAGTTTTTGCTGTGAGATGTTACCCCACTCTTCCACCAAGGCACCTGCAAGTTCCCAGACATTTCTGGGGGGAATGGCCCTAGCCCTCACCCTCCGATCCAACAGGTCCCAGACGTGCTCAATGGGATTGAGATCTGGGCTCTTCGCTGGCCATGGCAGAACACTGACATTCCTGTCTTGCAGGAAATCACGCACAGAACGAGCAGTATGGCTGGTGGCATTGTCATGCTGGAGGGTCATATCAGGATGAGCCTGCAGGAAGGGTACCACATGAGGGAGGAGGATGTCTTCCCTGTAACGCACAGCGTTGAGATTGCCTGCAATGACAACAAGCTCAGTCCGATGATAATGTGACACACCACCCCAGACCATGACGGACCCTCCACCTCCAAATCAATCCCGCTCCAGAGTATAGGCCTCGGTGTAACGCTCATTCCTTCAACGATAAACGCAAATCCGACCATCACCCCTGGTGAGACAAAACTGCGACTCGTCAGTGAAGAGCACTTTTTGCCAGTCCTGTCTGGTCCAGCGACGGTGGGTTTGTGCCCATAGGCGACGTTGTTGCCGGTGATGTCTGGTGAGGACCTGCCTTAAAACAGGCCTACAAGCACTCAGTCCTATTGCAGACAGTCTGAGCACTGGAGGGATTGTGCGTTCCTGGTGTAACTCGGGCAGTTGTTGTTGCCATCCGGTACCTGTCCCGCAGGTGTGATGTTCGGATGTACCGATCCTGTGCAGGTGTTGTTACACGTGGTCTGCCACTGCGAGGACGATCAGCTGTCCATCCTGTCTCCCTGTAGCGCTGTCTTAGGCGTCTCACAGTACGTACATTGCAATTTATTGCCCTGGCCACATCTGCAGTCCTCATGCCTCCTTGCAGCATGCCTAAGGCACGTTCACGCAGATGAGCAGGGACCCTGGGCATCTTTATTTTTTTTATTTTTTTGTCAGTAGAAAGGCCTCTTTAGTGTCCTAAGTTTTCATAACTGTGACCTGAATTGCCTACCGTCTGTAAGCTGTTAGTGTCTTAATGACCGTTCCACAGGTGCATGTTCAATAACTGTTTATGGTTAATTGAACAAGCATGGGAAACAGTGTTTAAACCCTTTACAATGAAGATCTGTGAAGTTATTTGGATTTTTACGAATTATCTTTGAAAGACAGGGTCCTGAAAAAGGGACGTTTCTTTTATTGCTGAGTTTATCTGCTCTGACCTGGAGACTCGGCAGGTGATGGTGGCTCCATCTTCTCCTCATTGGCCTGGCAGTGGAGCAGGTGGGACCACAGAGCCGACCCTCCCTGGACGGTACAAACACTCAGTCATTAACTCAACCACGGGAAAACAGCAGTGTGCGTGTGTGTGTGTATGTACAGTATGTATGAATGTGTGTGTGTGTGTGTTTGTTTGTTACTAACCTGTTTGAGCTGCAGCCCGTGGCCCCAGGTCCTCTCCAGCAGGTTACAAAGGCTGTGGATCAGTGTGTTCTCCTGCAGGCCTGTGATGCTGGCCTCGCCCTGCCCCAACTCCACACTCTCCTTCCCCATCCTCTCCATCAACATACGCCTGGTCTGCACCACACAAAGACACAACAAACACTAAATCTGGCCTAAATCATGACTTCTACACCCTTCTACCGAAGTGTGGACTTGCCCACTCCCCATCATGGATTTAAGGATTTTATTTATTAATTTTTTTGTCATTTAGCAGACGCTCTTATCCAGAGCGACTTACAGGAGCAATTAGGGTTAAGTGCCTTGCTCAAGGGCACATTGACAGATTTTTCACCTATTCGGCTCGGGGATTAGAACCAGCGACCTTTCGGTTACTGGCACAACGCTCTTAACCACTAAGCTACCTGCCACCTGGCATGATGAGGGGTGTGCAATGGCACACTTTAGGAGAAGTGTGGAGAACTGGGATGCATATCAATACATGATTCATGCAAGGGTCAGAATTAAGCACACGCAACTCAAGTTAGGAGGACTTGGCCCTCATTGAATGTAGTGTTGATATATGTTATCATTTTAAGAATTAAAGGTCACTAAACAGACATTTTTCAGCTACAGATGCACTGCACACGAACTACATTTCTCCAAAAGTGGTGAACTATATAGGAATAGGGTGCCATTTCGGACACAGACAATCACTCTGTATATCTACCTCTAACATGCTGTGTGATTGTCTAGAGCCCAACAGAGATGATGTGCCCCTGCTGTGGTGAGTCAGGAGACCCCTTACCTTCAGGCGACACTCACTCAGCAGCCCCTCCACGAAACCCTGCTGGGTTTGAGTGACAGCTGAGGGGGAGGGATCAAGCAGCTTGGACTGGTGTTGGCTCCTCCTCCCAGGAGAGTACTTCTATTGGATAAACCCAGAGAGCGAGAGACAATCAGACAATACTAAAAAGTTGATTCTGAAAACAACCAATAACTCCTTTCCCGGCCTAGCCCCTACCCATCCTGGGTTTGTAGATCGGACTGAAACAGAGAGGGACTACCTGGCTCATTTTATTTTAAAACATTTTAAACGTTGTGTGCCCTTGTGAACACAACCCCGAAGAATGCAGAATGATGGTCATGCGAAGAAAGGTGAAGGCATCACCATATTGCTTACACCAGTTAAGGGAAAGGGCTAGTGGTTGATTTTGGACAGGGCCATAGGTAAAGCAGGTGTTTACCTCTCTCTGGTCAATTCCCAGTCCTGATGTCGTCTCAGTGGTCACTGGTCTCTTAATGTTGCTCCTGCGAGTGCTACGACTTGACCACCTACAACAGCATCAGACACAATGTACATTGTGTGTGTGTTTGTTTGTGTGTGTGTGTGGATCATTATTTTGTGTGTGTGTAGGTCATTCTTGTGTGTGTGTCGGTGTATATACAGTACCAGTCAAGACACACCTACTCATTTTTTGTACTATTTTCTACATTGTAGAATAATAGTGAAGACATCAAAACTATGAAATAACACATGGAATCATGTAGTAAAAAAAATATTTTAGATTTTAGATTCTTCAAAGTAGCCACACTTTGCCTTGATGACAGCTTTGCACACTCTTGGCATTCTCTCAACCAGCTTCACCTGGAATGCTTTTCCAACAGTCTTGAAAGAGTTCCCACATATGCTGAGCACTTGTTGGCTGCTTTTCCTTCACTCTGCGGTCCAACTCATCCCAAACCATCTCAATTGGGTTGAGGTCAGGTGATTGTGGAGGCCAGGTCATCTGATACAGCACTCCATCACTCTCCTTCTTGGTCAAATAGCCCTTACAAAGCCTGGTGGTGTGTTGGGTCATTGTCCTGTTGAAAATCAAATGATAGTCCCACTAAGCGCAAACCAGATGGGATGGCGTATCGCTGCAGAATGCTGTGGTAGCCATGCTGGTTAAATGTGCCTTGAATTCTAAATAAATCATAGACAGTGTCACCAGCAAAGCACCCCCATACCATCACACCTCCTCCTCCATGCTTCACGGTGGGAACCACACATGCGGAGATCATCCGTTCACCTACTCTGCGTCTCACAATGACACGGCGGTTGGAACCAAAAATCTCAAATTTGGACTCAGACCAAATGACAGATTTCCACCGGTCTAATGTCCATTGCTCGTGTTTCTTGTCCCAAGCAAGTCTCTTCTTCTTATTGGTGTCCTTTAGTAGTGGTTTCTTTGCAGCAATTCGACCATGAATGCCTGACTCACGCAGTCTCCTCTGAACAGTTGATGTTGAGATGTGTCTGTTACTTGAACTCTGTGAAGCATTTATTTGGGCTGCAATTTCTGAGGTGCAGTTAACTCTAATGAACTTATCCTCTGCAGCGGAGGTAACTCTGGGTCTTCCTTTCCTGTGGTGGTCCTCATGGGAGCCAGTTTCATCATAGCGCTTGATGGTTTTTGCGACTGCATTCTTGAAATGTTCCGTATTGACTGACCTTCATGTCTTAAAGTAATGATGGACTGTAATTTCTCTTTGCTTATTTAAGTTGTTCTTGCCATAATATGGACTTGGTCTTTTACCAAATAGGGCTATCTTCGGTATACCAACCCTAACTTGTCACAACACAACTGATTGGCTCAAATGCATTAAGAAGGAAAGAAATTCCACAAATTAACTTTTAACAAAGCACACCTGTTAACTGAAATGCATTCCAGGGGACTACCTCATGAAGCTAGTTGAGAGAATGCCAAGAGTGTGCAAAGCTGTCATCAAGACAAAGGGTGGCTACTTTGAAGAACCTCAAATATAAAATATATTTTGATTTGTTTAACACGTTTTTGGTTACTACATGATTCCATATGTGTTATTTCATAGTTTTGATGTCTTCACTATTATTCTACAATGTAGAATAATAGTAAAAATAAAGAAAAACCCTGGAATGAGTAGGTGTGTCCAAACTTTTGTATATGGGTGTATGTTACTTACTTGTTGGTGTTGTGTCCCTGTGCCAGTACATCAGCATGCAGCCTGGGGAAGCAGCCCTGTTGGTGTCGGCCCTGGCCGATCCTCATGTCCAACAGGTGGGGGTGGATGGCCGTGTGGTCAGCCTTCAGCAGCCTGAGTTCCATGGCCTGGGCTGAGGACCAGAGCAAAATAGAGGTGGGAGATGTGAGTTGGGCCTACTGGAGAATGCTGTTGGAGAGGCAGTGTCAATTAACCTTTTCACATTATTGTGCTGACCCAAACCGTACTGTGCTGGCTCTGGTATTTTCCTGTCACATTGTCATTTCCAGCACGGTTCCAGCAACTTTGTTGGATGTGTAACCAGGCCAGTAAAATAATACGAATATATGCCATTTAGCAGACGCTTTCAATTCAAAGTGACATAGTCATGCATGCATAGTTTTTGTATGGGTGGTCCCAGCAGGAATCGAACCCACAATCCTGATGTTGCCAGTGCCATGCTCTACCAACTGAGCCACACAGGACAGTGTATTTGTTATCACACCTTTATTTCTAGCTTTTCATTCCTCTACATAGAAGTCTTACGTTGAATGACCATTGTATAAGCCTGTTTTCAAATACAGAAATTTTTATCAGTGTCATACTGTATGTAAGTCTATGATCTGTAAAGCTCTTTGTACATAACCAAGGTCATGTGTTGTTGTCACGATATGTAAGTGAACCCTATCTGGTTTACTTTGAAAGACACTTCTGGGAAACACGAGAGAGAGATAAAAGGGAGAAACTGAAACAGAGAGAAGGAGATAGAGTGTAAAGCAGAAAGAGAAAGAGATGCACTATTAAAGACACACAGACAGAGACAGAGAGACAGAGAGAGAGAGAGAGAGAGAGAGAGAGAGAGAGAGAGAGAGAGAGAGAGAGAGAGAGCCTGTGAAGAAGAGAATGGTGCAGTCTCTGCAGAGCGCTTGGCAGTACTTCAAAGCTGAGAATTTTGAGGCTCTCAATATAGGGACAAGATGTACTGTTTTATTCCTCCTCCTCTCATCATATGCTACTTACAGTGAGGGAAAAAAGTATTTGATCCCCTGCTGACTTTGTACGTTTGCCCACTGACAAAGACATGATCAGTCTATAATTTTTATGGTAGGTTTATTTGAACAGTGAGAGACAGAATAACAACAATAAAATCCAGAAAAACGCATGTCAAAAATGTTATAAATTGATTTGCATTTTAATGAGGGAAATAAGTATTTGACCCCTCTGCAAAACATGACTTAGTACTTGGTGGCAAAACCCTTGTTGGCAATCACAGAGGTCAGACGTTTCTTGTAGCTGGCCACCAGGTTTGCACACATCTCAGGAGGGATTTTGTCCCACTCCTCTTTGCAGATCTTCTCCAAGTCATTAAGGTTTCGAGGCTGACGTTTGGCAACTCGAACCTTCAGCTCCCTCCACAGATTTTCTATGGGATTAAGGTCTGGAGACTGGCTAGGCCACTCCAGGACCTTAATGTGCTTCTTCTTGAGCCACTCCTTTGTTGCCTTGGCCGTGTGTTTTGGGTCATTGTCATGCTGGAATACCCATCCACGACCCATTTTCAATGCCCTGGCTGAGGGAAGGAGATTCTCACCCAAGATTTGACGGTACATGGCCCCGTCCATCGTCCATTTGATGCGGTGAAGTTGTCCTGTCCCCTTAGCAGAAAAACACCCCAAAGCATAATGTTTTCACATCCATGTTTGACGGTGTGGATGGTGTTCTTGGGGTCATAGGCAGCATTCCTCCTCCTCCAAACACGGCGAGTTGAGTTGATGCCAAAGAGCTCGATTTTGGTCTCATCTGACCACAACACTTTCACCCAGTTCTCATCTGAATCATTCAGATGTTCATTGGCAAACTTCAGACGGCCCTGTATATGTGCTTTCTTGAGCAGGGGGACCTTGTGGGCACTGCAGGATTTCAGTCCTTCACGGCGTAGTGTGTTACCAATTGTTTTCTTGGTGACTATGGTCCCAGCTGCCTTGAGATCATTGACAAGATCCTCCTGTGTAGTTCTGGGCTGATTCCTCACCGTTCTCATGATCATTTCAACTCCACGAGGTGAGATCTTGCATGGGGCCCCAGGGCGAGGGAGATTGACAGTTCTTTTGTGTTTCTTCTATTTGCGAATAATCGCACCAACTGTTGTCACCTTCTCAGCCTTGTGTAGGTCTACAATCTTGTCCCTGACATCCTTGGAGACCTCAATACTTATTTCCCTCATTAAAATGCAAATCAATTTCTAACATTTTTGACATGCGTTTTTCTGGATTTATTTGTTGTTATTCTGTCTCTCACTGTTCAAATAAACCTACCATTAAAATTATAGACTGATCATTTCTTTGTCAGTGGGCAAACGTACAAAATCAGCAGGGGATCAAATACTTTTTCCTTCACTGTATCTCCCCCCCACCCCATCCTCCACCGCTCTAAAGTATCCCCTTCTCAGTCTCCCTCCCTTTCTCCCCCTCATATATAATTGTCTACCTCTTTTACCCTCCACTCCTCTTTTCTTCAATTTGGTCTTCTCTCAGATTGACAGTGAACTTCATTTCCCCTCTAATTCCACCAGAACAAATATTCCCCATCCCTCTCATATCTTTTATTCTACGTCACAGTCGCTCAGTCGAAATGTTCCCTCTTTTGTTTCCATCTTCGCTCAGTGGAACAGAGGGAATTTAGGAAGTAGAAAGAAAAAAAAAGTCAAGACGAATCCGCAAACCCATACAATGTGAGTTGTACACTGCTCAAAAAAATAAAGGGAACACTAAAATAACACATCCTAGATCTGAATGAATGAAATAATCTTATAAAATACTTTTTTCTTTACATAGTTGAATGTGCTGACAACAAAATCACACAAAAATGATCAATGGAAATCAAATTTATCAACCCATGGAGGTCTGGATTTGGAGTCACCCTCAAAATTAAAGTGGAAAACCACACTACAGGCTGATCCAACTTTGATGTAATGTCCTTAAAACAAGTCAAAATGAGGCTCAGTAGTGTGTGTGGCCTCCACGTGCCTGTATGACCTCCCTACAACGCCTGGGCATGCTCCTGATGAGGTGGCGGATGGTCTCCTGAGGGAACTCCTGGACAGTCTGTGGTGCAACGTGGCGTTGGTGGATGGAGCGAGACATGATGTCCCAGATGTGCTCAATTGGATTCAGGTCTGGGGAACGGGCGGTCCATAGCATCAATGCCTTCCTCTTGCAGGAACTGCTGACACACTCCAGCCACATGAGGTCTAGCATTGTCTTGCATTAGGAGGAACCCAGGGCCAACCGCACCAGCATATGGTCTCACAAGGGGTCTGAGGATCTCATCTCGGTACCTAATGGCAGTCAGGCTACCTCTGGCGAGCACATGGAGGGCTGTGCGGCCCCCCAAAGAAATGCCACCCCACACCATGACTGACCCACCGCCAAACCGGTCATGCTGGAGGATGTTGCAGGCAGCAGAACGTTCTCCATGGCGTCTCCAGACTCTGTCACGTCTGTCACATGTGCTCAGTGTGAACCTGCTTTCATCTGTGAAGAGCACAGGGCGCCAGTGGCGAATTTGCCAATCTTGGTGTTCTCTGGCAAATGCCAAACGTCCTGCACGGTGTTGGGCTGTAAGCACAACCCCCACCTGTGGACGTCGGGCCCTCATACCACCCTCATGGAGTCTGTTTCTGACCGTTTGAGCAGACACATGCACATTTATGGCCTGCTGGAGGTCATTTTGCAGGGCTCTGGCAGTGCTCCTCCTGCTCCTCCTTGCACAAAGGCGGAGGTAGCAGTCCTGCTGCTGGGTTGTTGCCCTCCTACGGCCTCCTCCACGTCTCCTGATGTACTGGCCTGTCTCCTGGTAGCGCCTCCATGCTCTGGACACTACGCTGACAGACACAGCAAACCTTCTTGCCACAGCTCGAATTGATGTGCCATCCTGGATGTGCTGCACTACCTGAGCCACTTGTGTGGGTTGTAGACTCCCTCTCATGCTACCACTAGAGTGAAAGCACCGCCAGCATTCAAAAGTGACCAAAACATCAGCCAGGAAGCATAGGAACTGAGAAGTGGTCTGTGGTCACCACCTGCAAAACCAGTCCTTTATTGGGGGTGTCTTGCTAATTGCCTATACTTTCCACCTGTTGTCTATTCCATTTGCACAACAGCATGTGAAATGTATTGTCAATCAGTGTTGCTTCCTAAGTGGACAGTTTGATTTTACAGAAGTGTGATTGACTTGGAGTTACATTGTGTTGTTTAAGTGTTCCCTTTATTTTTTTGAGCAGTGTATAATGGATGGAGATTTTGGTGATGCTAGCATCTTTAGCTAATCCCTGCCTCTCAATATACTCTATGCATTGGACAGAGGACAAACGGACCATGTTCATCAGGCACCAAATAGAAAAAAGCAGACTACAACAGTGAGGGACTATCTGAACTCATTTTCATTTACCGTTGCAAAAGCTTTTAAAACCTTTTCTACTGCGTGCCCTAATGAACATGACCCAGAGATAGGTGGACAGGGGGGCTCGCCCACCACATGCAGTTAGCAATAATAATAATAATAATAATAAGACATTTAAGTACTACTGTAGCACCCCTGGAACCAATTTCCACACCATGCTGTCACCCACCTACCTGATTTGTGGAGCACGCTGCACTTCCTGTAGCGACGGTTGCCGGGGTCGTCCTCGAACGTGTCGTAGAGGCGCTCCCTTTCTAGGCGGCCGTCGAACACACGCTGCAGCGGCTCCTGGTCGGCCCAGCGAGACAACACCTTGCCGTCCAAGAATGATGAGAACATGGCCGTCTCCAGGAACCAGGACAAGAAGTGCAGGTGCGGGGCGGGCTGCGCCGACAGGAAGGAGCCCTGGTGATACACAAAGGCACAAATGTTAACAACAATACACATAAAACCACTAACAAGTGAAATCTGTAACAGTGGGAGAATATTGCTTCTATCCTGAATGAGAGCTTCTTGTCAATGTATGTAGGATTACTGACTGTGAAGGAGTAGGCTACGGATATAATGTATTCCTTCAGTGAGTGACTGTCGATCAGTCTTCACCATTACCTTATCAAAGTTGCTCGTTCCCTCACGGTTGCCTAGCCAGGACTCCAGGTCAGGAGCACTGTGGATCACAAACTCTTCATACCTCCCGAAAATGGCGGCGAAACGCCCTGCGAACACCTCCCTCAGCTGCACGTTCATTTTGGCCGCATTCAGTTCCTCCTCCTCCTCCTGGAACGCCCGTCCAAGGGTCTTCCCCCCCTCCATCCCTCTTTCTCCACACCTCCTCGCTAGTGCCTGCAGTCGTTCCAGCACGGCCAACTCCTCCCCTCCCAGGTTCCCGTTGCGCCTGTCTTCCATTAGGTCCTCCAGGACTAGGCTGCTGAGGCAGGGGGGAGCGGCAGGTGCGAGTTCGGTGGTGGTGGCGCCACCATGTGGCTGGAGGCCAAAACGCAGCAGCACCTCGTTCAGCTCCTGGATGAGCTCGGGCTGGTCTGGGAAGAGGGGCAGGTCCTCGGGTGGATCCACGCGGTGGTTGTCTATGTCCACAAAGCACACGTTGGCCTGGAAGGGGGACAGATCAAATAAAATAAAATGTTATTCATCATGTACACAGTTTACAGCAGGTATAAAAGGTGCAGCAAAATGCTTGTTTCAAATCCCTCTCTTCCCCAGATCACTCTCTTTTTCTCATCTCTCCATTCTCCTCCTCTCTCTCTTTCCTCTCTAAAAACTCCCCCTCTATGGCTCTGTCTCTCTTGGCATACTAGTTTCACATAGCCTGGTCCAGATCTCTTTGCGCAGTATAGTCAACCAAAACAATTGGAGTTGGCTAAACAGCTAAACAGATCTGGGACCAGGCTAAGTTTCATGCACATCACTTCGTTCACTGACAACATTTTCATCAATGCGAAAAACAGTCAGAGAAATGAGTCAACCTCTGGAGAGAAGCCAAGCAGGCACTGGCCTGACACAGACTGTCAGAGACTGACACCATGAAATCCCCTTTAACAGCATCGACATCCCCTTTAACAGCATCGACAGTGTGCTCTGCTTAAGTGACACTTTGTCTGTCCAAACTCAGCACTGACGTTATGCCATTAACCATTTTTATTCTTAACTGCCTGTGATAAGACAGATTCACACAGACCACCGTTTGTTTACAGTTCTAGTTTAATGGCCCACTCCTCAACTTAAAAAAAAAGCAAGACAAAGTGATATTCTTCAAGAACAGGCATGAACAATGGGTATCATTCATTTACATGATCAAACACGTCTGTAAATATCAAAGAATGTGCTTTTAAAGGTTCATATGATTAAAGCATCATCGCTCCACTTCTCATGGGAAAGCTTGCAACATAAACCACGCCCTCGCCTTCCCCCTCGGAGTATGATGACCCAATTTACCATGACAAAATATGTTGACATTCCACTGTACTGTGACACATCAGCTAAATGCCATCAAAAGCTATGCGCTTTTCAAAAGCCATGACTTTGGATAAGGATACAGATAAAACGCACTTAACCCTGCTGGAAAAAGTGGACTGTAGATGGATAGATCTTTAAAAACACAGGATACGATCGGGATGCGTTCTACAATCTGCAAAGTGTGCATTATATTGCTGCCTCCTGTGTCAGCCCTATCCTCTCACATACATCCAGAAATAAAACAGGGCAATTCTTAAACCTTAATTATTCACGCCGTCTGATTTCTCTAGAAATATCAGTACCTTCCTCCTCCCACCATTGCCCACGACTCAGCTCTCTCTACTGATATCTCCCTGGGCCAGCTCTACCACTTCAAAGAAAACTTCTAATATATGTCCCAAATGGCACCTAATTCGCTAAATAGGGAATAGGGTGCCATTTGGGACGCAAACCTAGCGAAATGCTTCTGCGGCATGGCATAATCTTTCGTTGAGGGATGGAGAATTGGATTTGGGGAGAGAAGGGAGAAGCGGAGGAGCTCGCTGGAGGAGCAGTGTGAATTTCTATGTTTGCCAGCACCAGAGAGCTCGGGGGGGGGGGGGGGGGATGTTAATATGCAACTAGAATAGGGTGGATTAGTACAGGCACTGCAAGAATGCAGCAAATGTTACAATGCTCTTTTCACTGCCTGTTACACTGCGTAATGGAATGTCTTATTAGAATGCCCGTTACAGTGAACCTTACATTGTGTTCTACGGGTCCCCTGTAGCTCAGTTGGTAGAGCATGGCGCTTGCAATGCCAGGGTTGTGGGTTCGTTTCCCACGGGGGGCCAGTATGAAAATGTATGCACTCACTAACTGTAAGTCGCTCTGGATAAGAGTGTCTGCTAAATGACTAAAATGTAAATGTAAAATGTGTTCGATTGCTTGTTGGAATGTTTTTGCAAGGTCAGTGAATGCCTCTAAAATGCCTACTAGAATGCTTTTTATTTATTTATTATTTATTTCACCTTTATTTAACCAGGTAAGCCAGTTGAGAACAAGTTCTCATTTACAACTGCGACCTGGCCAAGATAAAGCAAAGCAGTGCGATAAAAACAACAACAACACAGAGTTACATATGGGGTAAAAAAACAGTCAAAAAAAAATCAAAAATCAAAATACAACAGAAAATATATATATACAGTGTGTGCAAATGTAGCAAGTTATGGAGGTAAGGCAATAAATAGGCTATAGTGCAAAATAATTACAATTAGTATTAACACTGGAATGCTAGATGTGCAAGAGTTTATGTGCAAATAGAGATACTGGGGTGCAAAAGAGCAAAATAAATAACAATATAGGGATGAGGTAGTTGGGTGGGCTAATTTCAGATGGGCTGTGTACATGTGCAGTGATCGGTAAGGTGCTCTGACAACTGATGCTTAAAGTTAGTGAGGGAGATAAGTGTCTCCAGCTTCAGAGATTTTTGCAATTCGTTCCAGTCATTGGCAGCAGAGAACTGGAAGGAATGGCGGCCAAAGGAGGTGTTGGCTTTGGGGATGACCAGTGAGATATACCTGCTGGAGCGCAGACTACGGGTGGGTGCTGCTATGGTGACCAATGAGCTAAGATAAGGCAGGGATTTGCCTAGCAGTGATTTATAGATGGCCTGGAGCCAGTGGGTTTGACGACGAACATGTAGTGAGGACCAGCCAACAAGAGCGTACAGGTCACAGTGGTGGGTAGTGTATGGGGCTTTGGAGACAAAACGGATGGCACTGTGATAGACTACATCCAATTTGCTGAGTAGAGTGTTGGAGGCTATTTTGTAAATGACATCGCCGAAGTCAAGGATCGGTAGGATAGTCAGTTTAACGAGGGCATGTTTGGCAGCATGAGTGAAGGAGGCTTTGTTGCGAAATAGGAAGCCGATTCTAGATTTAACTTTGGATTGGAGATTCTTAATGTGAGTCTGGAAGGAGAGTTTACAGTCTAACCAGACACCTAGGTATTTGTAGTTGTCCACATACTCTATGTCAGACCCGTCGAGAGTGGTGATTCTAGTCGGGTGGGCGGGTGCCAGCAGCGTTCGATTGAAAAGCATGCATTTAGTTTTACTAGTGTTTAAGAGCAGTTGGAGGCTACTGAAGGATTGTTGTATGGCATTGAAGCTCGTTTGGAGGTTTGTTAACACAGTGTCCAATGAAGGGCCAGATGTATACAAAATGGTGTTGTCTGCGTAGAGGTGGATCTGAGAGTCTTTCAGAACATCAGCTGTCTGAATTTGTGTGAAGGAGAAGCGGGGGGGGCATGGGCAAGTTGCAGCGGGGGGTGCAGAGTTGGTGGCCGGGGTAGTGGTAGCCAGGTGGAAAGCATGGCCAGCCGTAGCAAAATGCTTGTTGAAATTCTCGATTATTGTAGATTTATCGGTGGTGATAGTGTTTCCTAGCCTCAGTGCAGTGGGCAGCTGGGAGGAAGTGCTCTTATTCTCCATGGACTTTACAGTGTCCCAAAACTTTTTGGAGTTAGTGCTACAGGATGCAAATTTCTGTTTGAAAAAGTTAGCCTTTGCTTTCCTGACTGCTTGTGTATATTGGTTCCTAACTTCCCTGAAAAGTTGCATATCGCGGGGACTATTTGATGCTAATGCAGTACGCCACAGGATGTTTTTGTGCTGGTCAAGGGCAGTCAAGTCTGAGGAGAACCAGGGGCTATATCTGTTCTTAGTTCTGTATTTTTTGAATGGGGCATGTTTATTTAAGATTGAGAGGAAATTACTTTTAAAGAACAACCAGGCATCCTCTACTGACGGAATGAGATCTATATCCATCCAGGATACCTGGGCCTGGTCAATTAGGAAGGCCTGCTCGCTAAAGTGTTTTAGGGAGTGTTTGACAGTGATGAGGGGTGGTCGTTTGACCGCGGACCCGTTACGGACGCAGGCAATAAGGCAGTGATCGCTGAGATCCTGGTTGAAGACAGCGGAGGTGTATTTAGAGGGTAAGTTAGTCAGGATGATATTACATTTACATTTTAGTCATTTAGCAGATGCTCTTATCCAGAGCGACTTACAGTTAGTGAATACATATTTTTTTTATACTGGCCCCCCGTGGGAATCGAACCCACAACCCTGGCGTTGCAAACGCCATGCTCTATCAACTGAGCTACATCCCTGATATCTATGAGGGTACCCATGTTTACGGATTTAGGGTTGTACCTGGTATGTTCGTTGATAATTTGTGTGAGATTGAGGGCATCTAGTTTGGATTGTAGGATGGCCGGGGTGTTAAGCATATCCCAATTTAGGTCACCAAGCAGTACGAACTCTGAGGATAAATGGGGGGCAATCAATTCACATATGGTGTCCAGGGCACAGCTGGGGGCTGAGGGGGGTCTGTAGCAAGCGGCAACACAGAGACTTATTTCTGGAAAGGTGGATTTTTAGAAGTAGAAGCTCAAACTGTTTGGGCACAGACCTGAATAGTATGATAGAGCTCTGCAAGCTATCTCTACAGTAGATTGCAACTCCACCCCCTTTGGCAGTTCTATCTAGACGGAAAATGTTATAGTTGGGGATGGAAATTTCAGAATTTTTGGTGGCCTTCCTAAGCCAGGATTCAGACACTGCTAGAACATCAGGGTTGGCGGAGTGTGCTAACGCAGTGAATAACTCAAACTTAGGAAGTAGACTTCTGATATTAACATGCAAGAAACCAAGGCTTTTGCGATTACAGAAGTCAACAAATGATAGTGCCTGGGGAGTAGGAGTGATACTGAGGGCTGCAGGGCCTGGGTTAGCCTCTACATCACCAGAGGAACAGAGGAGGACTAGAGAATGTGAACTATACTGAACAAAAATATAAACGCAACATGTAAAGTGTTTCATGAACTGAAATAAAAGATCCTAGAAATTTTCCACACGCACAAAAAGCGTATTTCTCTCAAATTCTGTGCACTAATTTGTTTACGTCCCTCTTAGTGAGGATTTCTCCTTTGCCAAGATAATCCATCCACCTGACAGGTGTGGCATATCAAGAAGATGATTAAACAGCATGATCATTACACAGGTGCACCTTGTGCTGGGGACAATAAAAGGCCACTCGAAAATGTGCAATTTTGTCACATAACACAATGCCACAGATGTCTCAAGTTGAGGGAGTGTGCAATTGGCATGTCCACCAGAGCTGTTTCCAGAGAATTGAATGTTCATTTCTCTACCGTAAGCCGCCTCCAACATTGTTTTAGAGAATTTGGCAGTATGTCCAACCGGCCTCACAACCGCAGACCACGTGTTTTTGGCGTTGTGTGGGCGAGCGGTTTGCTTATGTCAGCGTTGTGAACAGAGTGCCCCATGGTGGTGGTGGGGTTATGGTATAGGCAGGCATAAGCTACGGACAACGAAGACAATTGCATTTTATAGATGGCAATTTGAATGCACAGAGATACCGTGTCAATATCCTGAGGCCCATTGTCGTGCCATTCATCCGCCACCATCCCCTCATGTTTCAGCATGATAATGCACGGCCCCATGTCGCAAGGACCTGACCACAAACCAGCAACTTCGCACAGCCATTGAAGAGGAGTGGGACAATGTTCCACAGGCCACAAACAACCGCCTGACCAACTCTATGCGAAAGAGATGTGTCACGCTGCATGAGGCAAATGGTAGTCACACCAGTCATGTGAAATTTATTTCAATTGACTGATTTCCTTATATGACCTGTAACTCAGAAAAATCTTTGAAATTGTTGCATGTTGTGTTTATATAGGTATAGCCAGGTGGTATAGCCCCCCCCCCCCCCCCCCAGTCTGCCTGAGATTGCAAACATGCATGGCTTGAGAGATGCGGTCACCGGTTAAGTGTGTGTGTAGCTAGCTACCTAGTTTAAATATCAACAGTACTGCCACAGCAGCATAACATTTTATTAACACCGCCTACATCATCATCAATATTAGGTCTGATTTGCTGATATGTGCAGCAGAGAGATGAAGAAACACAGACGTAAATCATAACCAGTAAAAAAAAAAAAACATTAAAAAAGAAAAATATTGTTTTTTTTTTAATAACAAAAAACTAAATATAATAAATAAAATGGAGCTAGCTAACTAGCAGATTTACATCAATCATCAACATCAATGATCAGCTGATATCCCACCCTCTTTTCCCGACGTCAATCATGTCTTTAGGAGGCATTGTAACTAGCTTGCTTAAAATATGTGATGATGAGTGTGTTTTTGAGCACCTGCCCCCTGAAAGGTCTGTGCACGGCACTGGTCCTAAGTACATATCAGTAAAATACCTCATGGGACAGATCCAGAGTGGAGCTTTGGGAGCCATCCCTCCGTTGGATGCCCATCAAGAAGGGCACGGGGGCATCCAGGAGATGGTGCAGGGGAGCGGGCAAGATGGGCAGGTAGACGTGCTGCCACTGGAACGGAAACAGTAGGTTGGTGATGCCCTCTGCCACCGTCATCAACCGCTGGTAGTCTGGAGACAGAGAGATGCATGATGGGAAATTAACAAGTGCACACTTTTGGTTTAGGTTAGATTTTTACATTTGAAAAACTATCGAAACACAACCTAGGGTGGTAATCTTTCAGCAAATGCTGCCTGGTCTTTTGGTCCTTACCCTGTGAATAGAGCAAGACCTGGGTCTCCAGCAGCACGGAGGTGAGCAGCCTCACCATGTTCTCCACCCCCAGCAGGGAGAAGGCCTCTCCCAGGGGGTAGTCCCCCAGCGGGAGTTCATCGGGGCCGGGCTGCTGGCACAAAATAGGCCCCTGGACCCCATGGAACCGGAGCGAACGACCGGGCGGCGGCACGGGCACCTCGTACAGGATGTTGTGGATGTAGCTCTCCAGCGGCAGTGGCGGGGCGGCGTGCGACATCACCGCCTGGTGCAGCTGGGACAGGAAGTGGCGTGAGGCGTGCAGGAAGGGGAGGGGCGTGAGGAGGCAGAGGGCCTTGGAGGAATACAGGGTGTCCCAGGCCGGCTGGAAGGAGCCCGCCGCGCAGCCCAAACAAGCCGACAGGGGGCGCGCTGCCAGGGAGTCGGCATCCAACTCATCCAGGCTGCTCACCAGAGAGTCCATGCTGGATGTGGAGGGGGAGGAGGCAGAGGAAGAAGACGAAGAGGATGTGGAGTAGTGCTCCACATGGTGCATCTGATGAAGGGTCTGCATCGCTGTGGTGATCTGGGCGCTCGTCACCGCTTCATAGTACGTGTGCACGAAGCCGTAAGAACGCGTGCCGTCATCGTCGGCGACCGTGAAGGAATGGAAGTGGTGCTCGTGGGCGTCCGCCTGACTGCGGAACGACAGGCCATGCGGCATGCAGAGCTGGGGATGAGAGAGAGAGACAGAGAGATGAAGGGAGGAAAAGAGACATGGGAAGAGGAATGGAGAAAATAGAGAGAGAGGGAGGAGTGCGAGGATGGAGAATAGAATAGAGGTGGGAGAGATGTCGAAGGAAGAGTGAGAGGAGATGTTTTAGAAGACATAGCAGAGGAAAAAGGAGAATAAAGGGGTAGAGAGAGAGAGAGGAGAGGAGGATGGGGTAGGGGAAGGTACAGAAAGAGTGGCAAACAGTGTCAACTGCCTTCAATAGCATGTTCTTAAATCAAACACAAGGGATTATGGACAGGGATGAGAGGGGTCAAATCATTCTGAAGAGCTTTCATTCTGATAAACAACATTAAAGACTAGCGAAGAGCTTTCATTCTGATAAACAACATTAAAAGACTAGCGGTTAAAATGGCCCTTATTTGTGGAAAGAACCCGAGTGTGGCTCCATGAAAAGGCGCTCGATCTGCTACAAAGTACTTTAGGGTTTGACAGCTCACAACAAGTTTTAACTTTTCACAAAAACAACTTGAGATGTTTTAATTGGTTCATCTAAATTAGTAGATTCTGTTGAGTTCCTGACCTAGCGCTTTTATCATCCTGACTTGTTTATACAAGAGTGTGTCATAAAAATAAAAATAAAAACAGAAAATATTATCTCATTTGCATTAAATAGAAATGCATTATGGTACAGGAGAACAAAACAAAGACGTGATGGCACAGCATTTAAGGCTCTTGCAGTGCCAAACAATCATACATTTGTTCAAAAACTTTCAATGGTTCAATTAACGCTAGTTAGCATTGCGCTAATGCTAGTTAGCAACTTCCTTCAAACTGCACGCAGAGACATAAAAATGGTATCCACAAGTTATCTGACTCCAGAGAAGCGGATGAAGGGCTTCTTTGCCAAAATCCCGAACTATCCCTTTAACAAAACAATAGTGCACAAACAACAAATGTAAAGTCCTCTATTCTGTGTAAAATGTGTACAAAATAAGTTGTACTTCAACATAAAACATTTTCTTGTAATGAATGCATGAAATTAGGCCATTTTCACATGGTGGCACAACAACTTTCTTTCCATAAAGGGCTAAAACAGCCAACATGACATAAAAGACTGACTTAACCTTTTGCTAAGTTCTCTAAATGTATCCTAGCCCCACTGTCTTACCATGTTGACGGCATCTCTGTTGAAGGGACTCCTGTCTGTGCTCTCAGGGTAGTGGGCCAGAACCTTGGACTTGAAGGACCTCTGAAGGGGGCTCTGCTCAAAGCTCTCCCCTAGGAAAGAGAGGGGTTGAAAAAGAGTGGCAAGAGAGAGAGAGGGTAGAGACAGATCGACAAAGAGAGAGCGAGTGTGTCAGCATTGCAATACTGGCACAGACAAATTCAAAGGGACAAGTGACCTTCATTCCTGCACTGAATTCTTAATAAGGGGACAGGGCGGAGAGCAACACCGCGGTTACCAGACAAGGTCAGGATTTAATATCTGACACAGCAAAACCTTTTACCCTTCATCTGACATCAGCTAAAAACTCTAAGTGTGTTGAATACCTTTATTGAGCCAGAGGTGAGAGGGGTGAGAGCAGAGATGGAAATTAAGTTAGCCCGCTAGCCCGAGGCTAGTAATTTACAGACCTGGCTAGTAGAAAATTTAGAGAGGTGAGACAGAAGGGAGGTGAGACAGAAGGGAGGTGAGACAGAAGGGAGGTGAGACAGAAGGGAGGTGAGACAGAAGGGAGGTGAGACAGAAGGGAGGTGAGACAGAAGGGAGGTGAGACAGAAGGGAGATGAGACAGAGGGGAGGTGAGACAGAGGGGAGGTGAGACAGAGGGGAGGTGAGACAGAGGGGAGGTGAGACAGAAGGGAGGTGAGACAGAAGGGAGATGAGACAGAGGGGAGGTGAGACAGAGGGGAGGTGAGACAGAGGGGAGGTGAGACAGAGGGGAGGTGAGACAGAGGGGAGGTGAGACAGAAGGGAGATGAGACAGAAGGGAGGTGAGACAGAGTTGGGCGAAAGCAGAGAGAAGATATAGTAGAGGGGTGAGATATCAATGAGACAGTAGAGGTGAGACAGAGAAGTGATACAATAGATTTGTGACATTACTGAGACAGTTGAGCGGTAAGGCAGTAGAGCGGTAAGGCAGTAGAGCGGTAAGGCAGTAGAAAGGTAAGGCAGTAGAGCGGTAAGGCAGTAGAGAGGTAAGGCAGTAGAGAGGTAAGGCAGTAGAGAGGTAAGGCAGTAGAGAGGTAAGGCAGTAGAGAGGTAAGGCAGTAGAGCGGTAAGGCAGTAGAGAGGTAAGAGGGAGGTGAGACCGTTAAGGTGAGACATTAGTGAGACAATAAAGGTGGTTCTGCAGTGAAGAGAGGAAGCCCTGCCAAGCCCAGACTTATGTAATGGCCAACCCTGAGGAGCCTTCAAAGCGCCCTCATCCCCTCACACTGCACCGTTGTCAGAAAGTCAGATAGAGGAGGTGGGAGAACAGGGGGACACCTAGGGTTGTCATGATACCAGACATACTCTGAAGTATTGTGGCAAGGAGAAAAAACATTAAGCTGACTTTCTGTTGTCACCCAGCGTCACTTTTGTTTATGTTTTTAACTATATCACACACTATTTAACATAGAGCTGGTTTTTAAAAGACCATAAAGTTCAGTCTGCTTCATGAAAATCCAGTATTGTCATAGTATTGCATTACTGGTATCGTGACAACACTAGGGGAGAGGAGGATTGAGATGGAGAGGGAGATAAGTGAGGAAGGGGTAGAGGAGATGAGGGGGGATTCGGAAAGATTAAAGATGTTGTAGAAGTAGGAGCAATGCACAGAATGCATCCCAACGCTCTGCAGGGGGAACCTAACTGTTTACGGTACATGGATACAAGTTGAACCTGGGACTTGATAGCAAAGAGCATCCTTTGTTTGGCTGGAAATAATAAACACCATCCATGTCATAGTTTTAGCAAGTGATTGGATGTTTTTGTTTGTGTAACAGACTACCAAATGAAAAAAGCCAACTACATCCACAACTTTACTACATTTTTGACACACGTATGCGTACATGCACTGAAGGGAAGGAGAGAATTCCTTTTAAAAATGTACGCCGTTTGAGTGTACTCACCAGTGACACACACACTTCCACTGACCTTGATGTATAACCTTGTCTGCCTGATGCATCTCCTGCCTCTCTCACTGTCGTCTGTGTCAGCTGCCTGCTCCAGTTACATACAGATAACTTTGTTTGTGTGTGTGTGTCACGTGCAAGACAATGGTGTGTACCAGGGTTGTGCTCAATTCAGAATTTTGGTTTTGACTTCCATTGAACTCATGAGTTGAAATTAGAATTGGCCACACCCCACAGGACATTTGAGTGACAGGAAGTAGAATTTAATTCAGTGCAATTCAAAGAAATTCCACTCAGTCATAGAACATGAGCTTCATTGAGTCTGACAGGTCACTTCCAGATACCAAAGTATATAACTTTTCACTGGAAACAATGTTCATATGCTCTTTTAATCTTCGTGCTTAGAATAGCCAATTATATTTCCACCAACCATAATATTTTTTGCCTCTTTTCGAAGGCTTTAGGGTCAACTTGAGGGTTAAACTAATGCATTCTGGGAAATGTATTTTCCCCATATTGAACTAAATGTAAGTGATTAATGAAATATAATAACTTAGAATATTTGCATTTATATAATGTAACGTGTGATGTTTTATGTACAATATGTATATTTGTATGGACTACACCTAATATAGTACAGGGATTTCAATTTAATTTAATTTCACTGAATTCAATTCCATTCCCATTAATTCAAATTCAAATTGCAATTCTGTATCCTGTTTACTACTTAAATTCAAATTCAATTCAATAATTACAATCTATGAGGCATTCTCAATTCAATTCTGAAGCACAACCCTCATTTTTAAAGGAACACTATCATTCCCTAGAGTGCACCACTCTTCCCATTACTACCCTGCCTGGCATTTGGATGCGATCACTGCACTGTCAAAACACCAATGGGCAATAACATTTTTACATTTTAGTCATTTAGCAGACACTCTTATCCAGAGCGACTTACAGTTAGTGAGTGCATACATTTTTCATACTGGCCCCCTGTGGGAATCGAACCCACAACCCTGGCGTTGCAAGCGCCATACTCTACCAACTGAGCTACATGGTGATAAAGCAGGAAGAATAAACACTTGATGCTCAAAAACAACATCTAACGCTTGCTTTGACGCATATCCAATTATCCAGCAAGATTATAGCATTCCACCTACTTCTCCAATGACGCATAGAAAGCCCAGAACAGAAAGGATGCCGAAGGCAAGAAATGGATCCGAACTAAGAGGGTTGCTTTGCTTTGAATCAGGCTGGTGGGTGGGTAGTATGAATGCAGGCTGGGTCCTATTCACTAGGAAGCAAACAGGCTGAAATGGGGAGGGATTATCTGAACTTGTCCAATAACAATCAAATCAAATTTTATCACATGCGCCGAATACAACTGGTATAGACTTTACAGTGAAATGCTTGCTTATGAACCTTTCCCGATGATAAAGAGTCAACATTTTTTTGAATATAAATAGTGACTAACACAAGAGAAGCAAAATAAAATACACAAGAATGGAGTTATATACAGGGAGTACCAGTACCATATCAATGTGTAGCGGTACAAGGTATTTGAAGTAGTTATGTACATGAAGGCAGGGTAAAGTGACTAGGCATCAGGATAAGAACACAGAACAGAGTAGCAGTAGCATATGATGAGTGTAAAAGTGTTTGTGTGTGTGTATGTATACTGTATGTGTTTGTGTTGTGTCGGTATGCGTGTGTGTGTTATGTTTGTGTGTGCATATGTAGTGTTTGAATGTGTGAGGGATATGTGTGAGTGACAGTGTAGTGTGTGTGAGTGAGTGTGTATATGGTGTGTATATAAAGTCTAGTGAGTGTGCGTAGGGTCAGTGAAAGATAGTCAATGCAGATGGTTCGGGTACTATAAACCCCCTAGAGTCGATGTCCGCGCCCCGTGGAAATCTAATTAGCATTATTTTTATAAAATCCCCATAAAAATCAGTCAGTTTAAGCTAGAGATATCTCAATCCACACTTCCGCATCTGTGGTGAAAGGTTACAGAGCATGAGACATTCTGAAAATTGGTCTCGTCACAAAATCGTCTGTAACATCCGAACGGTTTGGCCTACAAAACTATTGTAGTGTATGTTATTCGCAGGTGTTACCGTCAATCAAGGAGTCTGCTCATACTGAACGTCGATCATAAGGTTTATTCAGATCACAAGCTTCAGCATGAGTAACAGGTGACATGACACCCGGAGAGACGCCTCAGAATGGCTGCTTGCTCTAACCTCTCCGTCATTTTCCCCCCTATTTATAAACAATGATGCCCCCTCTTCTGGCCAATCACCAGTCTCCCCTGTCTACAACCCACCTCCTGTCGGTGGTATGTGGTATTACACCTAAAACATTGCCTTCTGATACTAACCTAAACAACATTCCTTGTTCCTCCAAAATAGTCATAATCTCAATACACGACATATTCCCCCCTTCGAGACGAACTAAACGTCTCGAAACCAAACAGAATAGGATTATGACTAGTAACCATTTATCTCATTGAGTATCTTTAACATTAAACCAAACCCATTCTCCTCTTGAGTGTAAATACCTTTCTATGAAATACCTGTTTATGAAGTGTGAATACATTACTATGACATATGAACAACTATTTATGAAGTATGAACACATTACTATGAATTATGAACAACTGTTTCTGAAGTATGAACACATTACTATGAATAATGAATAAATCTCTATGGAGTGTGAGAGCGAAAAACTGTCCAGCAGCCATCCATCCATATCAATCAAGACAGTAAAATTCTCTCACCGTCCCTCTGCCCCAGGCAACCACCGTCGGTACTCCAGATAACCTCATAACTCATGTAAATGCATTTGAAACTATGATGTAATTAAATACCCATGTAAACAAAATCCTATCCATAAATATCCACTCTCAGGCTGGTCAACCCATAGGACCTGAAAGGGAATCTCTCCCTGCTTAAACATTCTGTCCCTAACCCCATCGAAATAAACAAAAGCATCTACGATCCTCATCTGCATTCAATAACATCAAACATCATTCTACTAAAATCAATACCTAAGAATATGACACAATTATGTATTACACATCAAATATGTCTATATTTCATTGCAGACACTGGAATGTAGTCCACTACACTTCCTCTTCCTGTAGTGTCCTCTTCCAATGGACTTGTTGATGATGGAATCAGCCACACCCTCCTTGTTTCATCTCCTCCAGTCATATTGTCCCTTCATATTGTCTTTGTTTGAGTATTCCAATCTCCACATGTTCTCCCACATGCTTCTGGAATGACAAGAAAATAAACGACCAAACAGTATCCTTTGCAAAACAACCACTTTCAAATTAAACCTCCATTTCACCTAAGAATTTAAAAAATGATACATAAATGATGCATGAATCACATTATCCATTCCCCCCTTTGATTCATAAATCACACTAAAAATCATACTAATATTGAAAAACCAATTTGAAAAATCATAAAATAATCCAAAATGATATTTATCCATTCAGTAGTCCATCTAGACCCCCTCGTCCGTCTTCGTCCAGATCCGGAACAGTCAACACCGGCATCTGAGTGTTGTCTCCAGGCACCACTTCTCCAACCTATCTCAATCTCATAACTTTCTCAAAAGTCAGTACAAACATCACACAGTGTTATCAAAGCTTAAACTACTAGAATCTGACCCATCACTGCCCCTACTGGCCTAATTAATCTTGCAACCAAATCCTTTCAAATGCTTCCCTTATATTATCTAAACTATCTGGACTCACAGGAATACACTAATATTTATCAATATTATCTTCCCAAATGTTACACCATACCATGAATGAAGTCCCCCCTTCTCCCTTAAACTTATTCTTCAATGATAGGCTTGAAGACTATGACATGTCGCCATGTGTCTGCTAAATGACTGAAATGTAAATGTAATGTCACCCTTTTAACCCTAGATTTAGCTGTGTCCAATGCTATCCCTCTTATAATGGTAAAACCTCATATGGAATCTTCAACGTTGACCTGTAACAACATCCTATCCCCCATAGGGTAAGAATATACTCTATCATAATTTCCCCTTATCCTCTAAAATTCCCATAGTCACATTGTCAGTCAAAAGCTAATCTTTTAACCATCAAAGTCCTGCTCTTCTTACTACCTGATATATAAAAAGTAACCTATTATTTGTCATTACTACCCTTAAGGTCATGCTTATCCAAAGTTATCATCTAACATCCCAATCTGATCTTTCCATAAACATACCCCTTACCTCATATGTTTTATTAGAACAAACACAACTTTTAGCCCTCAATATTTCACCTGAATGCTTCAGGGTTTGCAATTACCTGATTTTACTTTCCCTCTAACCAATGCTCATAGGGTAATCTTTTCACCCAAGAACACTTAAACCCTACTGGTCTGACAACTACATTATTTTATCGGTCAATGACTGTTGCCGATACCACAGTCATGACAAAGCATAACATTTACCCACACCTGCCAGAGGCCGCGCGACCGTCTAACACGTCTTGGGCTGGCATCCCCAACAGACATCAACCCTCAAGATTCCTCACTGACCCTACAGAATGAGTTAATCTATCTCTAATTTTCACAACAGAGGAACGAGCAGCACTGATCAGATGCCCCCCCCCCTCTGTCATCAAAATCAAAAGACCCCATACTGCAGCTTCCATGATGAATCTCTATTCTCCATTTCAGATTAATCTATATTGTTTCTATCTGCTCTATTTTAACCCCATTCGTACCATAACCTCCTGAGTCCCTCTTGCTACCTCTTTAATTTCAGAACAATTGTTGTCAGTATCCTACTCCTATATTTGCTATTGCCATAGTATCATTAATCCCTTCCAAAGTTACCCTTAAAGTAGTTGATTTAGCTGCTGTATCAACCCTAATTACTTCTAGTGCAAAATTTCCCATTATCCTCTGTGTATTATCTACTGTTGGAGTGACTACTGTCCATTCAGTTCTACTCCTCCTGAACTCCCTCAATGACTGTGAAAACTTCCACAGACTTCAAATCTTCCATTATAAGCGTTACTTTATGAATTACATTGCCCTTTAACCAATAATTCCTAACCGAAACAAATTCTAATGCTTGCCCTAAATAAGTACACATATATTCTCCCTAACCTTTCTCTATAATATTACGCAACATAAGTGAACAGTCACTCCTAACCCTATTCCAAACTATACCTCCTTCTACTCCTGGTCCTGATAACAATACTTATTCTCCATATTTATCTCTCCATATGAGAGAAACGTCCCCATCTTAAACCCTAATAAGTATTTTTCCCCCTAAAATTGGTGCTGTACTGGTTCCCTTATAATCAAATGCAATATGTTTATGACTTTAATACCTATCAATGTTGAAAGAGTTAAATTGCTTCTCCCTGTTGTTCTAATAACCTGAAGTGTTAATGTCCTTATTTACTCCTAGTTTTCCCATAAGACTTTGAACTCCTTCCTTGTACTTCCATCTATCACCCCTAGTGTCACTTTTTCCCCCTTTCAGTTCTACCTCTAAACTTTAAACCTCCTGATTATAACAAAATACACCTATAATGACCTTGATCTCCCTACTGGACAGTGTCATTCATTACTGTTCTCTCTCTGTCTTACTACTAACTTTGAAACTTAGCTTACTGTCTCAGAGTCCCTTCAACCTAGCCTACCCCTAACTTATTTTAATCTAATCTTTTCTCTCATAACATTTAAAACCTTTTCCCCTGATCTATTGACAAAATCTCTTACCACCAAATTTTTAGAATATGTGATTGGGAAAGTTCCCCACCTGCTTCTGACTCATTACACACAGACTTGGCAAAACCGACTAAACACCTTTTAACCTAACCTCAAATCTCTTAGTGTAAGAATGTAACCCAAAATAACAGTCACCCCTATTAAGTTTTTTCCCAGACAGATTGTCTAACAGGCAATCTAATACATTATCATCCTTCCTATGATATTTATATTTTAAGCAAATGATTCCCCAAAAACCCTACTTTTTAAAATATTCTACCAGACAGTCAGTATGCCTCTGATTGAACACTTAAATTTACACCATGCATCTCTTCCCAACACTGCCATAACAGCATCTTCTAATATTAGTATGTCTCTTTTACTTCCTCTTTGACTTTTATAGCAGAGCTCAATTGATTCCCTAAGAGTAATTAAACTATTTTACTACTTCCAATCCCTATCCTAACCTAATTAGTTTATTTTACAGAGTGATATGTTTAACCTTTTTAGACGGAACCCCGATAAGTTTTTCCCCTATTCACTATCACTTCTAATGGTCAGTTGTTTCAACTGTTAGCTATTTCCTCTTCTTCTCTAATCGATGCTCTCAGCAATGCACCCCTTCCGGATATTCTCGGCACTCTAGAATATTTAGTGTTCACCTGAAGCACCGGTGATCTTCACTTGCTCGTTGATCTTCCTCTGTTTCTTCTTCTCCAATTCTGTGTCTGTCCAGAAACTGACAGTCGATATGGAACATCTGGTCCCCCCTTGGTTGGTACAATTGCCTTTGATATTGTTCCGTTAAAGCTGTAACAGTGATTGTTGATTTGATTCACTCTGATTCTTCATAACCCACACTTATTTTCTTCTTCTCCACCACCAGTTATAAGTTGTATTTGCTTGAGTTTTCTTCGTCCGGTTCTTCTCATCGTTGACATATCAGTATTCTTCAACCTTAGTTCCAAGTTCTGTCCTCGAAATATCATCTTCCATCATCTTCTTACTAGTGGGCTCTTCTTTACCTCAATGTGTTCTTCTTCAATTCTTGGGATTAAAAATGTTCTCCGCAGGTTTTCTCCTTGTCTCTTCTATATCTTCAGCGTCTCGAGCTGTTCCTCTAGCTCCCTTACCTCTCCCAAAGTCGTCTCTTCCTCCAGGCCTGATACGCCTCGGTCTATATCTCCTATTTCTTCTTTGCCAGTCATTGTAGGATAAAATCCTCTTGAACATACAACACCTTTAATCTCCAAATCTTCATCACTTTCTTCATCAGAACTCGAATCTCTTGTCTCCTTCGTTCAACTTTCATCAGAGATCAAGTCTCCAGTATCCTTCTTTCCTCTCTTGCCACTTCCTTCTGATCAGAGTCATATCCCCCCATGACCTCTCTCAATCACTCATCTTCATCCTCCTCATCTCCTTAAGTTCCCAGACATCCCATTTTCTTCCGTCTTCTGAATTCATCTTCATCGTTGTTTCTGCTCGTATTCGTCTTCATCTCTGATGCCATAATCACCCTGCTAGATGATCATTATAAGCTGAGAATAAACATCCCTAAGCTCTACTTTTTAAACCTATCTTATCGCTGACATATTTTATCAATTTTTGTTTGAGAATGAAGGGCAACTTTTGTTTCACTTGCCGGATAACCTAGCAACACTTTAATTAAAGGATTACCCCTATTTCCACCCGTGAAATGACTCTCATAGTCCTGATATCTTTTTCCCCATTGTAACACCCTTTTATATTCCTTTATTGTGAACTATCTTATTCTAGACTGTATAAGTTATATAGGCTTCCCCCCTTAAATTATTAATATAACCCTAACAACCTTCAAAAAAATAAAAATAAAAAAAAAACATTTTTTTTTCCCTTCCCTCCTCCCAAAAGAAAAATTAAATAAAATAAAATATGAATATTAAAAACATTCAATTAAATGCCTTATTCAAAAACCCTTTAATTAAAAATAAAAACCCATTAAAAACTCAATTAAAAATTATGAATAATTTAAAACCAATTTTTTATTCCTATATCACCAATTTATCAATTAGTGTTGAATATATTACCACAACCCATCAAATGCAAGTAAATGCAAGTTAGTAATCTTCAGACTAAAATACCCATAAACAAAGCCTAACCTTCAATACTACAATACTCCAATTCCCATAACCCCTTGCTCCATTAGCTCTAATTATCATAAATTTACAGAAGAATCCTCAATCCATCCTGGATTCCCAACACATCTGTAATTAAACCCCAGTGATGCACATAGCCTCCAAAATGCAATTTTTAATGAAATAGTATTTGCCAAGCCGATGTAAAATTGTCATAACATCACATATCTGGTTAGGATGATTTTGTGTACTAGCCTGATCCGATCCTCTCCTGCATCATGTGATGTCACGTCATGTGACGTCACCCCTCCTCTCTCTCGTCTCGCCATTCCATGTTCCTCTCATATTTCAAAAAACATAGAAACACACAAGATTTCAGCAGTTTATGCAATTAATCAAGTTATCCACATTCAATGCATTATACTTCGTCAACATATATTTAATTTATAAATTTAATAGGTCCCAAAACAAGTTTCATCTTAACCCACCGCCGTTTATAAACTTATAAGATTTGTGTTAAACTCTCCCTGGGCCTATTTGTTCCGTCGTCTGGGTTCCTCTGTCTCCCCCTGCAGTTTAACCAATGTGTTGTTTTACAGAAATCCCACGCATGCGCAAATATCCTTTATTACATAGATCGCTCCAAAACATTTCATTTAATTTTAATAGTCTTATTTTAATTAATTATACTCCGTCAACATATATTTGATCTATAAATGTACTACATCTCGCCAAATAGTTTAACGTTCACATAACAGTTACTTTAACGATTTTAAAAGAGTCGTGTTCACCTCTCTCTTCCGGTAGCCCTTAAACCCCTGAACAAGAAACCCCAAACAAACATATGACCTTACGCCACCATTTTGTTTCGTCGACCGCATGTCGTAGATTTAGTGCCATAAACCAAAACGTGTCCTAATCTCGTGTCATAAACTCCCCCTTTCTGTAGTGTAGTGTCGCAAAATTAAACGCATGCGCATAACCATTCAAAAATACTTTTCACCGTGGAAGAAAGATTCTCTCTTCTCTCTCCCCAAACATAATAACAGTCCAGCTGTAATTCCCATTTCCCCCTTATAATCAAACAACATTTACCAGCGCTCACAAAACATATAACCTGACTTACAAACACATAAACAAGTTTAAGAGACTTTCACCCGTCGCAACGGAATCTCTAAGGATATCCGTTAGCATATAGCCCGCAACACAATTAGCATTCAACCTTAGCAGTTAGCTTAGCCTACGGTACATCGTGACACAAAACACAATTAGCACTAGCATCCAGCCACCATGATGTAGCATGATTCACACTTTAGCCTCAAAAATTAGCATTTAGCATTTCGCCACGATGTACCACGTGACCCGAACCATACAATCAAGCCTTAGCAACGAGGCACCACGTGGCCTGAAACAATCCAGCCTTAGCTTCAGCCTCTAGCCAACAGCAGCCTACTACACAAATCAATATCCTGCACCGTGGCCAAATAAATAATCGTCCAATTCTCCCCGTCTAACTTTATGCTGCCTTGAAAGATGAATCTCATATCAAGCGGTTATCCCCAAACCAATTTCCCGTCGACCAGAGGCGGAGTATAACATAAATACACCAATTCACTTCATAATTCCCGCTTAAGAAATCAACCTGATTCAGTCTAACTAAGCCCAGGATTTGTAGCCCACTTAATAATAATAATAATTATTATTACAAGTCGCCTCGTTTCGAGGTCTTTTCCGTATTCCCGGTGCCCTAAGTATGCAGATATCTCCCAACATATATTCTCTACCAATCCATTTGTACAATCCATTGTTGTAAACAGCGTTTACACATCAACCAAATTTAAAATATTTTCGTTCAGACTCCCAGTTAACAGCAACACCATACCTCAATAACGACCCAAGTACTTTTAACTGTGCACCGTCAAAGCCCTCTCCCCAATCAACGAAATGACTAGTGTCCAAAGTTTGTGAATAATCTCACCTTTAGCCGGCTTGAACAATAGTCAACTCACGAATCCAGGAAAGGGACCAATAACGATGCAATCAATATCTCAGCAGTGCCTCCATTTGTAGTGTATGTTATTCGCAGGTGTTACCGTCAATCAAGGAGTCTGCTCATACTGAACGTCGATCATAAGGTTTATTCAGATCACAAGCTTCAGCATGAGTAACAGGTGACATGACACCCGGAGAGACGCCTCAGAATGGCTGCTTGCTCTAACCTCTCCGTCATTTTCCCCCCTATTTATAAACAATGATGCCCCCTCTTCTGGCCAATCACCAGTCTCCCCTGTCTACAACCCACCTCCTGTCGGTGGTATGTGGTATTACACCTAAAACATTGCCTTCTGATACTAACCTAAACAACATTCCTTGTTCCTCCAAAATAGTCATAATCTCAATACACGACACTATCATGACCCCTCTATGGAAAGATGAGACTCCATTTTGTTCTACGACCCCCACAATCGTCTTGGGACTCGTCTGAAGTTGGTACAGCCGATCTGCCAACTTCGGTCTGTAGCGTCCGAACAGTTTGGGCTACACACTAATATTACCTGTGGAAAGGTGAGACTCTCATGAACACGTACATGTTGGTTGTTTTGCTCTAGGACGCTCACAAGACTCTTCTGAGACTGTCTATATGGAGACTGTTTAGTGTAAAAAATAAGGGGTTAAATACATGTAAAAAATATAAATAAATAAAAATCCTGATCTTTCTTATATCTCTCAGACATAGGACAGACACTTCAGAACAAACTTCCCTTCAATATTTTTTTGGGGGGGGACCATGTGTTGTTCCATGTAGTGAATATGTTATTCAATGTGTTTGTATGGGCTAATAGCAGTAAGGCCAAATCATTATTATTTTTTTACACTTCAAGGGGTCTTAAAATTCCAAATCAAATAGCAAAATGATCCTTGGTATAACCTTAAAACAATTCCATATAGCTTAGTAGCTCAGCCTCGGTGATGTACTGGGCTGTCCGCACCACCCTTTGTAGAGCTGTGCGGTCAAGGGCGGTGCAATTGCCATACCAAGCGGTGATGCAGCCAGTCACATGCCAAATCTTTTCAGCCTTCTGAGGGGGAAACCCTTGTTTTGCTAAGGTGTGCACTATTGAAAATGACCCTGGTGGGTGGGACCCATTGTACGAATGCGTTGTTATGAGAACAGGGCAGCCATGTTGGATATCGTTGTGATAAGGAAGTGAATCAGAGCTGGTATAAAAAAAACTAAACAGTGACACTATCTTGCTGAGTGTTGTACCATACTGGTTCTCTATTTTTATAATAATCAAGGGACATGACATGCAGCGATGTGATAAACACTAAGACCACACCGTGACACGTTATCTACTAAGCATCGATCTTCCTCAGGGCAAAACAAAGCAAAAGGAGGGAGAAACCAGAGGAGCCTTGAGCCTAGTCGTCAAGACGAGAGGGACGTCTGGTTGCCATGGTAGCCATTTCCGCCGGCATTAAGTTTGCCGGGGCCTTGGAGAAGAAGTCAGTCGCTACGTTTCATCAGCTGACCTAGTTAGTTAGGTAGGTTCACATTCACACACTCAGCAAGCCATGGAGATCACACCATATACAGTACACACACACACACACAGCCATGAGGCAACACCAAACATCTGTGCGAAATCCACAGGAGGCTGGTGAGGGGAAATGGTTCATAATAACGGCTGGAATGGAGTGAATGGAACGCTATCAATCATATGGAAACCATGTGTTTGATGTTTCTGCTCCAGCCATTACTATGAGCCCATCCTACCCAATTAAGGTGCTGCCAGCCACCTGTGGTGAAATCTCTATTCACTCCATGCCTGGGAATGGGTTTGACTGCTCATGTGCACTCACTGAACCTGTTCTTCGAAGGTCTTACCGTGACGCATTTTAAACATAAGCACTTGAAATGAATAGTTCACTGTTGTTTTTTAGCTGTTTAGTGTCAGAGATGGAAGTCAAATATTAAAGACAAAAGGTAAAGAGAGAACGAGAGAGAGAGAGAGAGAGCAAAAGATAAATGGTAGGAGGTGAAAGGGTTCAAGAGACAGAAAGAGAAGAGGGATAGGGAGATATGGAAGGAGAGGAAAGAAAGAGGGCTCTAACATGATGGTGAAGCAGGGAGGGGGAGGGGAGGGTGGCTTGTTTTGGTTCTGCGGATGAAAGATTAAAATGGTGCCTCAGTTAGGCTGTGTGACTATCATAATCATCATTGCCCAGTTAGACATCTCCCCCACAGCACTGTGAAATCAGCTCAGCACACTCCAGAGAGACCATAGATCTGCTGGCCATGTTAAAACACTATAAAAATGCATTTATCCTACCTTGAAGTAACACCATCGGATAGGTGAAAGCAAGATTCTACTAGGTACATGTACATGTATGCTAAGGAAGGAAAGGAAGTAAGGAAGGAAGTAAGGAAGGAAGGAAGGAAGGAAGGAAGGAAGGAAGGAAGGAAGGAAGGAAGGAAGGAAGGAAGGAAGGAAGGAAGGAAGGAAGGAAGGAAGGAAGGAAGGAAGGAAGGAAGGAAGGAAGGAAGGAAGGAAGGAAGGAAGGAAGGAAGGACATAAATAATTAAGAATGCAGTTTCTTTGCATTGGAACAAGGTCCTTAGTCTCACAGTTCCACTTCAGGGACTGGAAAGTCTCTCTGTCTCCCAGACACTGCTGTAAATCTCAACATCACAGGATCCCACTTCAGCATGGATATATTTCTCAAGGGGAGTTTAGTCAGTCACAACAGCTCTCAGGACAGGAATAGGACGACACTATTTTATGCCACATGTAACCCTTTCTATTTCAAACCCGAGTCTTGTTCAGTAGGCACACTTACAGAAAGAAAACAAACAAATTGGGAGGCACTACCAGACCTTGTCCAATAAGAAATGCTTGACTTGGTTTACTGTTGCAAAACATTTTAATATGGTGTGCCCTAATGAAGAATGTTGATTTAAATCACAGGATGACATCTGGTTTTCATTGGTCTATAGTGTTTGTGATGTTACAAATGCATACAATTTCATTGGATGCTAGTAGGCATACCGTAAAGTGTCAAATCTGCCTATTTTCTCATACAGCAGATACGCAGACAAACAGAGAGGAGAGATCCGAAACCTAAAGATAAAGAGGCCTATGATAAAGCAGCTGACATTTCACGGTTGATAGATATTTGATTGTATGATTAACAGTCATATGCAGCTTCCCATCCTTTAAACAGACAGGGATCGAGACAGGGATGACTGGATGAGTGACTATATAAAGAGATGTCTTTCATCTTTGCCCAACTCAATTGCCCCACCACATTCAATTCATCACACCCTCGGATGGGCAGAGGAGAAGGAGAGAGATGGAGGTGGATAGAGCGATAAAAAGACAGAATGACAACTGGCTTTCATTCAAGGAGCAGACACTGTCTCAATTATAAGAATCTCCTATGTCGTTGTCTCCTGAATAAATGTAGAGGTGGTTTGCTGAACTATGCTTGCTGAAATGATATGCAACATTGCCCCCAGACTGGAGAACGTGTGAAGGCTTTAGCTCAGAGGGATAATGCATTCACGAGAATGGACGACTCAGGTTTGATCATTGATTGGTTACAGAAGCAACCAAGAGTTCATGTGAGGTAAAAACCGACTGTATAACCATAACCACCAGCTTTTCAATGTGACTGAATATAGCCTAATTGGACGTCAATAGGGCTTTTTACAATCCAGCCAACAGGACCTGTCCATCCTTGTCTTTCTTCTCCAATCAAAACAAAAACAGAAGCTAATCACAGGCTATGTTCATGATCACTTTAAGCAAGGTTGTAATAGGCTATAAAAATCTCAACTTTCTTTGACACCTACTCAATGTCTATTCTGCAAAAAAACTTTTCCAATCCAGCGATATCACACGTTCCAAACCGGGACGACAGTTCGGAGTCCCTGAACAGCCCACTGTTGGGTTCCCTCTCCGACACTAAAGTCATTCCCTGTGACAGTCAGCTGGCCGCTCGCAGCCGGGAGCTGAAACCCCGGCGAACGTCATGTGACATTTGATTAGGGCTGCAGAAACACAGAGGCATCTATTGAGAGGCCAACAAGAGCAAATTGTCTCTCTGCAGTCACTCTCCAATTACACACACGACATCTATCAAAAAACACATTCACCATCGACAGACACACACACACACACACACACACACACACGCCTCAAAGGAACACACATTTGTTCACCGACACAAACACACCTCTCAGAAAACATACACAATCATCCACACACACACGAGGATGGCCTGCTGTTACATAAGCAGATTGGTGAAGGCCACATCCAGCAGGGAGCAGAACCCTGTCCCACCCAGCAGGGAGCACAACCCTGTCCCACCCAGCAGGGAGCAGAACCCTGTCCCACCCAGCAGGGAGCACAACCCTGTCCCACCCAGCAGGGAGCACAACCCTGTCCCACCCAGCAGGGAGCAGAACCCTGTCCCACCCAGCAGGGAGCAGAACCCTGTCCCACCCAGCAGGGAGCCTGCCATCACTACTGTTCTTACTGGGAGACGCTCCACCAAGACACACACACACACATATATATAATCTAAAACACATGCATTTATCCAAACAAACAAACACACACACTATAACTAATAACAGTAATACTGAGTTCTGTCCTTCCTTTCCCTGCATGGTCTGGATAACGTGATCCTCAGTGGGGGGCGGGGCGGGGGGGGTTCATTTTCATAGCCTGACACTAGGCTAGCTAGGCTGCATGACGACAGTCAGAGGGTTAAATGTGTCCGCTTACCACCCCGCCATGTTCCCTGGGGATGTATTCTACAGAGAATATGCTGCCTTTGATACTCCGTCCCCTGTCATTCTCCCCCAACTCCACAAAGAATACAGAATACAGGGTGTGACTGTGTGTGTGTGTTCTGTGATTTGACAATGACAGAGAGGAAGTGGGAAGATGGTGCAAATTGTTTAATTCTAAATAGAACACACACACGGGCACATGCATATGTGCACGCGCACACACACACACACACACACACACTTCCTTACCTCCTCCTCACTGGGGAGGTAGTATGGAGAATCCAATATGCAAGAGCCTGCGATATACCCTTTACACACCATAGGCCAGGGACTCTTTGCCAGGGGGAAAGAGCCCAGCTATAGCTCTAGAAGTGGCCACTCCCCCTCAGGTTTCATGCACTGTGGCTGACTGTCATGGTCGCCATGGCAATGTAACTCACGCCATCACTGCATCCAAGTGACCTGACCAGGAAAGGCTCTGGCACCTAGGTAGGCTATGACAATCACAAAGGAGTTGGCTACAGAAGAAACAGACTTGCAACCATGGCCGTGTTCACTATAGGCACGAAACAGTAGGCACTTTTAGAAAGGCATCAAATACCCTACTCAGGCTCTGGGGCCTGAGAGGTACAGTATTCCATGTACTTCCTCTGATGTGAAGTGTTTTATACCCAGAAATAGTTCAGCTGCAAAAACAATGATGTCCATCATTCTTGACTTCTTTTCAACTTGTGTAGTGCCGTTTACCACCATCGCTATAAAAGACACAAAGTCCAAATAGAACACACACGGGCACATGCATATGTGCACGCGCACACACAAACACACTTCCTTGCCTCCTCCTTCCTAGTGAGGAATTCCATATGCATGTGCCCGTGTGTGTTCTATTTAGAATAAAACAATTTGCACCATCTTCCCACTCCCTCAATATTATATTCCCCAAAAAAATACCACGGTACTTTAAAATAATTCCCCTTTTCTAAAAACAACCTTCTTTTTTTTTTTTACTTACTTTTTTTTTTTTTTTTTTTTTTTAACCTTTATTTAACCAGGTAAGCCAGTTGAGAACAGGTTCTCATTTACAACTGCGACCTGGCCAAGATAAAGCAAAGCAGTGTGATAAAAACAACAACAACACAGAGTTACATATGGAATAAACAAAAACAAAACGCACAGTCAATAACACAATAGAAAATCTATATACAGTGTGTGCAAATGTAGTAAGTTATGGAGGTAAGGCGATAAATAGGCCATAGTGCAAAATAATTACAATTTAGTATTAACACTGGAGTGATAGATGTGCAGAAGATGATGTGCAAATAGAGATACTGGGGTGCAAAAGAGCAAAATAAATAACAATGTAAATAACAATATGGGGATGAGGTAGTTGGGTGGGCTAATTACAGATGGGCTGTGTACAGGTGCAGTGATCAGTAAGTTTCTCTGACAACTGATGCTTAAAGTTAGTGAGGGAGATAAGTGTCTCCAGCTTCAGAGATTTTTGCAGTTCGTTCCAGTCATTGGCAGCAGAGAACTGGAAGGAATGGCGGCCAAAGGAGGTGTTGGCTTTGGGGATGACCAGTGAGATATACCTGCTGGAACGCATACTACGGGTGGGTGTTGCTATGGTGACCAATGATCTAAGATAAGGCAGGGATTTGCCAGTGGGTTTGACGACGAATATGTAGTGAGGGCCAGCCAAATAACTAAAAAAGTGTAAACTGTAGTCATTTATTTTCCTTTATAGTTTATTCGCCTAAGCATGGCCTTCATCCACATCCCAATTTTTTTTTCCAAACATTGCTTTTTTGTGTCAGCAATTACACATTGTTCTTAGGGGGGGGGTTTACCCCAGAGTACCCTACTAGGGGCTTTATATGGGCTCAGCTGTGACTATGACAACAATAAACACGGCTCCCAGTCTCATCGGTTTTCCTGATGTCTCCTGCGATGGACAGGCACATATCACCTGACACTGGACTTCAAATAAATAAATAAAAACTCGAACAGTCACCCAATCACTTTGATAAATAAATTGATCAATCAATCAATCAATTGAAGACCTCTCGGGGTTTTCGCCTTTAATTGCGTATGCTAATTCAGAAGTTTAGGCTACGTTTTTTCTTCTATTAATTAGGCTAATATCAATCAAGAACACAGAATATTTACCTGCTAATTCTTCGGGTTCTAGACCAGTCTCCGTGTCCAATCCACACACCACGAAGTAGTGGGCGAAGCGGCACGAAGCCGAGCCTGTGCCCGAGGTAACCCCGTTCATCATCGGTTTAGATATGCTACTCGGTTCGTCTCTAATTCATACACTGGATCTCCATATTGTTGCCTATACGAAGGGCAAATGAGTACACACTGTAGTCTAGACAGTAGGCAATGTCCACCTCGTATTATTTTCGGGATGGAATTGTCTGTTCTGTATGTTCTCCGTCCACGGTCGGCAGTCAGCCTAGTGTCAGCCCAAAATGAATGTGTTGTGTAGGAGGCAGCCTATCTCATTGTGTGTGTGTGTGAGAGAGAGAGAGAGAGAGAGAGAGAGAGAGAGAGAGAGAGAGAGAGAGAGAGAGAGAGAGAGAGAGAGAGAGAGAGAGAGAGAGAGAGAGAGAGAGAGAGAGAGAGAGAGAGAGAGAGAGAGAGAGAGAGAGAGAGAGAGAGAGAGAGACTCATAAAATGTTCTCATCGGTTATATTCAGATTTTCAGATTCACATTTAAGATGGCCAAATGATGACTAATGTTTGATGTGATCTAATTATGACAATGAAGCTCATTAAAATAACATACAATTAAAATAGGTAATTGTGTTATGCAAAAACAGGAGCACAGTGATTGTCAGTGCTGGGTGGCAATTAGTGCTCATTAAAGGGCCCTGTTTGAATACTACAGACAAACATCCTTCCTTCCTTGAAGTTGGATTGGTGTTGGTTGAATTGGTGTTCTATATGGAACCCTAAAGCTATGCATACATTAGACTATGACAAAAATCTTGACATTTTGGGAGCACTCACATTATGCAAAGTGTCTGCATAATCTGGTAATCCTGAAGTCTGCAACCTGTGTGCTCTTATTACACAAGTTTGCTCCAATTTCGACCTGTATAGAGCCCTCTCTGGTCTTGCGATTTCCTGATGTGTTGTGGCGCCTGTGGCTGTAACCGAGCGACTGCTTACAAATTGCACAAGTCGCATTGTAGCATCAACTTGTCCGACAATAGTTGACTTGAGTTGTACTTTTGACAGACCAAAACAGACAATGATGTAGGTCATATACAATTTAATCCATCTAATCAAAGGCTGCGTTTACACAGGCAGCCCAATTCTGATAGTTTGCCACCAGTTGGTCTTATGACCAATCAGATCAGATCTTTTGCCAATAATAGGGCAAAAGATCAGAATTGGGCTGCCTTTGTAAACGTAACCAATGAACTCTACAAAAGGGTTCTATATAGATCCTTTAGGGGTGCTATACAAAGCAAGTGTTCCACTAATTGGTCATTTGACCAATCACATCAGATTTTTTCACATCAGCTCTTTTTCAGAGCTGAACTGATTGGTAAAAATACCAATTAGTGAAATAAATATCAAATTGGGCTGCCTGTCTAAACGCAGCCTTAGAACTCAGACCAACTCTGTTCTTTAGCCCAATTATTTACAAAAGATCTGATCTGATTGGTCAAATGATCAGAATAGGGCTGCCTGTGTAAATGCAGCCATTTAACCTTTTTTTCAAAGAGTATGGTAACCTTGCTTTCACCTATCCAATGTGCTCATGTCGCGTTCACTTTGAACGTGACATTACCTCATGGAACCAATGAAGGAAGGATGTATGTCATAAATATTCTAAAAGGGGCCAGCACCATCTGGTGGTTGATTACAAACATTACGGAAGGGGCGGGGTCACATTCAAGCGCATGGCTTTAAAAAAGTGATTGCTAGACACCAAGGAGATATTGTGAATGCGGCAAAAAAAATTGTCTGTCCTTGGTTGCAAAACTCACTACCGAGTTCCAAACTGCCTCTGGAAGCAACGTCAGCACAATAACTGTTAGTCGGGAGCTTAATGAAATGGGTTTCCATGGCCGAGCAGACGCACACAAGCCTAAGATCACCATGCGCAATGCCAAGAGTCGGCTGGAGTGGTGTAAAGCTCACCGCCATTGGACAGGAG